ACCCCCCCACTCCAGACCAAAGCCAAAAAACACTGGGAACTCCAAATCCCATCACCCCCAAAGGGAAGGTGGCTGGGACCTGAGGGTGGGGTTAAGCAGCCAGGTGTGGTATAAAAGGTTGCCCTATAACAAGACCATTTGTTAAATTGTGATTTGGATTCCTTTAAGACTATATGAACATATGCACACAGCATGCCTCTTGTAGAATATTTTTCCTTACTGTTAAATAAACAGCTTTCTTTTATTTGGAAGCATCTTAATTTGTTTTTTAGATTAAACATGGCAAGAACTATAGCATATAAAAGGTAAAAAGCACTGTGCAGTAACAAATTTACATGTTATAAGGCATCTTTTAGGGAAGAACTGTGTAGTGACTTCTTTTGAGTGTTTGACAATATGGCTTTCCTATCTCAACCCCACACCCCAGGAATCTAGCCCCTCTTTGCTTTTTCTTTGATCTATTAATATATTAAGTTCAATTTATTAATTTCTTATTAAATCACTTCTTGCATTCCTAGAAAAAACCTTAATTGATTTTTGTTATTTTAGTATCTTGATGGATTTTCTTTGTTAATGCACATGTAATAGGACCTTAGTGTCTATTAATAAGAGATCTATAGATTCCTTTTTTATATGCATTAGCTCTAAGATTTGGTAAAAAAAGAACTGGCCAACTCTATTTTTCCTTCTGAGTGTTAGAATAGATTAAATGTTATAAATATTTATTCTTTCATTCAGTTGCCAAATACATATTTATGAAACACCCACTATGCCAGTTATTGGTTGGATGGTAGGTAATCAAAGATCAAACAAGCGGAAATGGGCCCTATCTTCATAGGGCATGGTTTATTATGAAATAGAAGTGAAGTAATTATAGATAAGTAATTATAAATCATAAGTTCTCTGAAAGAAAAGAGCAGAGTGCTTTGAGATTGTGAAGATCTATTATACTTTAGTTTGTGCATTTTGTTTTTGAGTAAATGGTTATTGAGTATGTAGCACCAAAAGTTAATTGTTTTAAAATTAATCAAATATATATGGAAGATTTGATTTTTAACTAGGTTTATAGTAAATACCTAAGTAAGTAGCCACCATAGTAGGTGGTAATATTTCACAATTTTTAATTGAAGAATTTAAGACTTCGAGTACACACTTCTAGTTTAACATGTTCAGTCACTCTTCTGGAAATCCCACTATGATTATTCTAAAAGAATAAGAATATAAAGCCACAAAGATCAAGAGAATGAGAGGAGAGGTATAATCAATATTTGGGAAAGTAGAAAGGAGATGGGCAAGTAAGAAATAACTCAATGTATTAGAGAATGCTAAAAGTTGAAGAAAGGTAAAACCAATAAAAACCTGCTGATTTCCATTGCAGAGTTGGAGTTACCAAGTACTTCTCTAGACAGTAGTACAGACTATGGTGGAAATAGAAGGGTTGCTTGATGGTTTTTATGATGAATTTTGTTGCCTGGTTCCCCTTTCCTGCACCATACAACTACTTCAGACAACTGCTTGTCTTCACTCTGACAGACGACTGAGGGTTTACACTCAGAAGACATTAACTAGGCATAGAGGCTCTACGCATCTGAGATAGACAACTAAATGGAAAGGAAGATTAAGTGGAAGTTGACTTACTAAACAGTGAAACCCAGATCTGTCATCTGCATGGCTACCAGAGCTATTACTCAAACTGGTACCTCTTTAAATAAGATAATAAAGGATCCATTTCTGGGACTTGACCAACCCATGACAAAAAACTGATTTCACTTGATTAAATAGCTACATCACCAAATCACCCCTAAAGAGGGCTGCTGATCAAGAAACACTGTTCACATACCAAATTTCCTGCAGCTTTCAAGAGCTTACCATCATAAATGGATAGCCAGGTATCATTCATTTGGTGTGTCAGACCTGTACTTAGATTTTCTGCAGATAACAAGGGAAAATGCCTAAGATCAAACTATAATATCTTTAGAAAAGGAAAGATAATACATCCATGAGAAAAGAAAAGGTAGTTTTTTTTCAAAGAAATTGTTCAGAAAACAAGACAGAGCAGAAAATTTTTAAAAATCAATACAGGAAGGGCCTCCCCTGATGGCGTAGGCGGTTGAGCGAAGCGCTGTTAAGCTCTCTGCAGCCTCTGCAGCACCAGTTTAATCCCTGCTGGCCTTGGACCAACCCACATGGCAAGTAGACCTCTCCTGTTGCGCCCGCTGCTCCCCTCAGCAGTGTATTTCGTCAGTCTGCCTGTTCCGTTCCCCACTGTCTTTGGTGAATCCTCTCGCCCTCCCGCGCATCTGGCATGTACCCTGGTTTTTGTATAAATAAATAAATCTTTAAAAAAAATCAATACAGGAATTTGATAATAAAGATGAAGAAGTCTCCTGGGAGGTTTAGGAGAATAGGTTCACACCTAATCAGATGTCTGTCATCACACCACCCCCACCATTAAAATACTCATAGTCCTTTACTGTAGACCCTTGGGCTCCTTCATTTTTTCCCAACTCTCCCTCCCATATTTTTAGAGTTTGTTTTGGTTTAGTATTTTTCAGTTTCTTTTTTTTTTAATCCTTGTATTCCACATATTTGTGCAGTTGTGTGGTGCTTGTCTTTCTCCTGAGTTACTTAGCATAATCTCCAGTTCTATCCTTGTTGTCATAAAGGGCAAGCTCACCTTTTTATAACCAATTAATATTCTATTGCATATATATACCACATCAACATTTTTCTTTCCTGTTTGCTATCCTTTATTGAAGAATCCCACACCCTCATGGGACCCCAGCCACACCAGAAACCAGACCTGTCCCCCAAATATGGTAGGAGGCCTGAAGGGGGGGGGAATGACTCACGATCCCACCACATTGGAAACAGAAACCCACCATGGACAGACTGGGGCTGGGAGGAGAACTTAACCTCACTCTTGGTTCTCTCCCCTTTGCCCCCACTTTATTTATTTATTTGTTTGTTTGTTTGTTTATTTATTTATTTATGCAAGCACCGGGTTCTCACTTGGTTCTCTCCCCTTTGCCCCCACTTTATTTATTTATTTATTTATTTATTTATTTATTTATTTATTTATGCAAGCACCGGGTACAGCCAGAAGCGCCGGGAGGGTGAGAGAATTCACCAGAGCCAGGGCGGGGTGCAGAGCAGGCAGAAGGACTGAAGTACACTGCTGAGGGGAGCAGCGGGCGGCAGGAGAGGTCTGCGCACCATGTGGGACCCTCCTCCTGTGGCTGGGGAGCAGCCGGGATCGAACAACCCAGCGCTCAACCACTGCACCACCGGGGAGGCCCTGCCCCCACTTTAAAAGAAAGGCAAACACTGGCTATGTAGCACCTGAGCCCTTCACCCCACCCATAGCAGCTTTTGTGGGACCTCCCCCTCTGCAAGGGGTGGCCCCGAGGCAGCTTCTCATCACTCTTCCTTTACTTTGGTTTGCTCCTGGCAATTCCTTGCCCTTTTCCTTCCTTCATTCTGCCTTGCCTCCGCCTCTTGCCTAGTCACCCCCTCTTCTTCTATCACCTACGGACCTTCTCTCTCATCCCAGGTCCTCCCTGCCCCAGGGCTTCTGGGGAAGTGGTTTCTTGGGAGCCTTATTTCCTACCAGCAAGGGGTCCCACCAGGCCTTCTCTGCCTAAGACACAGGATTCACATGGCGGCCACACTCTCCTTGAGGTCAGGGTCTGAGCACTACCGTCTCATTCTTGGGGGAGTACTGTAATTTTTTTTAAGATTTATATATGCATATAAGAGCTGGGGTGTAGGCCAGAGGTATAGGGGTGAGAAGATTGACCAGAGACAACAGATGGATCTACTGAAATACACTGCTGAGGGGAGCAGTGGGCGAGATTGGAGAGGTCTGCTATGCTCTGTGAGTTAGCTCCCTGGCAGGTGATCCAACTCACATTGTAGTGGACAGCTTCATAGTGCTGAGACTTAACCCCTTGCGCCACCAGGGAGGCCTGGTATCTGAATTTTAAATTCAGGGAAAAAAAAAAATTGTGTAAGAAGGAAAATGACTACTCAGTTTGGCTCTCCCATAATTGATGTATAAAATTTAATGTATTGACTATAACAGAAACAGTGATATAACTGAGAGGATGGGAAGGGAAAGTGTGTTTTTAATGTGTGGGAGAAGGAGGGAAGTGTTTTTTATTGAAGGAATACTTTAGGTTTGTGAAAGTATTTAGGAACATGGAGTTATACCAGAAGATGAAACTAAAAGTTTAAAATGTAGTCACCTAAAAGGAATGGAAATAGACATCCTGGCAGGCTAGAAACAGGGGTTGATTAGCTGGTGCTATTTGACTTTCAAGTATCAGTGCTTCTATGAAGCTTTTCTTTGCGTAGAACTGTCTCAGTGAAACTGGTTGTTTATCCATTATGCACCAGCCAAATCCTGTTCTAGATTCTCCTACACATTTATAGTACTGGTTTCCTTTTATAGGTTTTTCTTTACTAGTCTAAGATCTCTTTCAAAGTACAACCTGTCTCATTTGTCTTAATAAATTCCATATTTAGATAAATAATAATCACCATTAAGTTTTGTTTAATGGTTGGATGAGCCATGTACTACTAATTTGGGAGTGGGAGGGAAATTTTATTTAACTGTGTTCTATTTGACTTTATTATTTCCAACCAGCAGAACTTGGATATGATTGTAAAATCTCTACTCTTCATTTTGGAAGATTATTTTTCCAATGAGGCAAAAGTGACTCCCATAATCATAATTCATTTCTATGAACAAAATTTCTAGAACTTAGGGAATATTGGAGGGAAAAGATTTCACATTAAATGTGTTGCTACTTATAGAGCAACACATATAGAGCAACTTGGAGTTAGTCCTCTAAGCCTGACGACCTGTCAAGAGATGTAAACAGTACAGAATTATACCTAATGCAGATTAGATACTGGGTAAACTTTTGTTTTTATAATAGATATGCCATAAAGAGAACTAACTATTGATTTTATGATTTTCTCTTTTTTCATTTTAGCATTTATGACATAAACAGAGAACAGGACTATGTCAAGAATTCTGGGGGTATACTTGGTGAAAATGAATTAAGACCACCCTCCCAGCTACATTCTCTCTTAGAGAAGACCAAGACAGGGTTCATATCAGAAAAGAGTGGGTATTAAACTAAATATTATAAGTTATTACTAATGAATCCAGGATAGAACATATGTAAGCACTTTTTAGAATTTTAATTTACATATGTAAGCACTTTTGAAAATATGTAATTTCCAATAGCTACAATTTTCTTATAGTCACTAGTCCAAAATTGATAGGTGATTAAGTTTTCAGATTGCATCATAAAAGGCATATGTCCAAGGGAAATTATCATTTTCCTCTATTTGCATTTCTTTGAAATTATGGGTCATTTTATTTGTTTTTGAATTGAAATGTGTTAAATAGAAGTAATCCATGCTTGTGTAAGAAAAACTAAATTGTAGTAATATGTATAAGGTAAAAAGTATAAATTCCCCTTTTATCTGCTTCCCAATCTCAGTATCCATTTGTTGGTGAAACACAACAATTTGACTTCCCATCTTTCTAGATCTTTTTCAGTACACTTTCAAACACTTAATTTTTTTTTTTTTGTTTATCACAATGACATTATACATGTTATTTACTCAGTAGTGTATAACATATATCTTTGTCAGTTTATACAAATTTACTTCATTTTTATTTCATAGTTTACAGATTTTTTTCCCCCTTGATGGCATTTTAAGTTGTCTCTAGTGTTTTTGTTGTTATATATAGATACTGGTGAATGCAACACCTTTCTATGTACATCCTGTGGACTTTTGCTAGTGTTTCTGAGATGTAGATTCCCAAAAATTAATAATTATTTGGTAGGCACACTACATTTGTTAGGTACTGCTAAATTTGTTCTCATGAAGTTGTAATTCTTTATCTGAAACTGGCAATTTTTAATCACTTAAAAGTAGAGGTATATTATAATTATAATATAATTATAGTATAATTATTATAAAATAATAATATATTTTATGATTAAATGATTAAGGAATGGTCTCTTCCTTCAACAACTGTCAAATGGCCTACTTAAACTTAAACTCCATAAGGTATACAATCATCAATAGTATTAACAGATGTAGATTGTAATCCATCTCTATATAGGGAACTTTAATGGCAGATACTTTTGGGTTCTGAATGTTTCCATCCTTGATTGGTGCTTTTACTTAATGCATGTGGTCATCAAAATCCTGGGATGATGTGGAAGTGCCTAGTTTTTGTTAGAATTATTGTGACACCTAAGTTGTTGGCATTAGTTCATCATATCTGCTTTCAGACTAGACATTTATAGAATGGAAAGCAGGTGCCTATGGCATAGCACTGGGAGTGGTTTGTAATTTTCTAATCCCTTTTATAAGGAGTTTAAAAGAGAAAGAAGTGCCTAAAACCAGATACTCAGAATGTCTGACAGATTTTTGAGAAAGGCAGGAACTTGATGCAGAGAATACAACTTGTGTCAAGCTTTACTTAACTTTTTTTTAAAAAAAGATTTATTTATGCATATAAGAACTGGGTTACAGGCTGGGGGCGGGGCGAGGTGAGAGGATTCATCAGAGACAGAATGGGTAACAGAATAGGCGGATCTACTGAAATACACTGCTGAGGGGAGCAGCGGGCAAGTCTGGAAAGGCCTGCTGCACCATGTGGGAGGCTCCGTGGCCAGGGATTGAATTTGTGCTGCAGTGGCTACTAATAGCTTCATAGGTTGCTTCTTAACCCCTTGGGCCACCAGGGAGGCCCTTTACTTAACTTTTAAAACTACATTTTAGCAGAGAAATGTGCCCAGAGCTGGTTGTGACAGGAAAGAATGTTAATTCAATTTCTAGAGCCATTTTGTAATTGAACTTAAATTTTCTCTTTAAGTTACTTCTTAGGGATTCTTTTTGGTTTCTTTGTAGAGTAGCCCTATGTTCATTGATAACTATGAATGTCTAAATGGACATTGCTCATCCAAGAAAACCCCAAAACATTCATATTAATTGGTACACTAGTTAGACTCTTAAATAAAAGTATATTACCTAATAACGGATAATTTCCACATAAAATCCTCATCCATCTCCTTATTAATAACTGTTCTGCATTCTAGAGAATATAATTGAGGTCATTTATTATGAAGTCACAAAAGAATAAAGATTTACTATGGTTTTCTATCAACCTCAACATGCTTTTCCTTCTGCTCACTATAAAATAATTGCTCTTATAAGTATATTGTTATTTGGAGAATGGTGACCTAAAGGGGAAGCATTTTTTATTTTATTTTTTATTTTTTTAAGATTTATTTTTATTTATTTATTTATACAAGCACTGGGTACAGTCAGAAGCGTGGGAGGGTGAGAGAATTCACCAGAGCCAGAGCGGGGAGCAGAGCAGGCAGAAGGGCCGAAGTACACTGCTGAGGGGAGCAGCGAGCGGCAGGAGAGGTCTGCGCGCCATGTGGGACCCTCCTCCGATGGCCAGGGAGCAGCCAGGGATTGAACCGGTGCCACAGAGGCTGCGGGCAGCTTCACAACCCAGCGCTCAACCGCTGCGCCACCGGGGAGGCCCAGGGGAAGCATTTTTAACCATAAATGTTTTGAAATACAAATATCACCAAATAGTCATTTCCTACTTCTTCCTCCTCCTCTTTTTTTTAAATTTTTTTTAAAGATTTATTTATTTATTTATACAAGCACTGGGTACAGTCAGAAGCCCGGGAGGATGAGGGAATTCACCAGAGCCAGAGGGGAGAGCAGAACAGGCAGACTGACGAGATACACTGCTGAGGGGAGCAGCGGGCGGCAGTGGAGGCCTGCACTGCATGTGGGACCCTCACCGGTTGGCCGGGGAATCGATTGACCAGGCGCTGCACAGGCTGCGGGCAGCTTCGCAACCCGGCGCTCAACCTCTACGCCACTGGGGAGGCCCCCTCCTCATTTGTTTTAAATCTTTACCTCAATAACAAAGTGTTCTCTAGCCATACGTATTTGGGAAACACTATGTTAAAGAAATTTTGTGGGGTTTTTTTTTGTACTGTTTCTCAGTTTTCGGGTTATTATTCATTGAAACTCAAAAATGGGGCTAAAATATAGTATATAATACTTTTAAAACTTAAAATCTATATTTACCTCTACTACACCTAAGAATTTTAAAAAGGTGATAAACATTCAATAGAATGTTCATTACCAAAAATCTAACACCTTTTATTTTTTTCCCTGTAAGTAACGTGTTCATCAAATTTTGAGCCTCAGAATATACTTAGACTTTTATATTTTCTTTAAAAAAATCTTAAATACAAGGTTTCCAAGTTTATGATTTTTTTTTTTAAGATTTATTTTTATTTATTTATACAAGCACTGGGTACAGTCAGAAGCGCGGGAGGGTGAGAGAATTCACCAGAGCCAGAGCAGGGAGCAGAGCAGGGAGAAGGACCGAAGCACACTGCTGGGGGGAGCAGCGGTTGGCAAGAGAGGTCTGCGCACCATGTGGGACCCTCCTCCGGTGGCCGGGGAGCAGGCGGGGATCGAACCGGCGCTGCAGAGGCAGCAGGCAGCTTTGCAATCCAGCATTCAACCGCTTTGCCACTGGGGAGGCCCCCAAGTTTATGATTTTTAAAGGAATACTAATTTGCAGTTGATATAGCAATGCAGCTTATTTGTAAGCTTAATTTGCATATGCATAGATTTCCCAGTTTGGGGAGGAGTTTAGTATTGAAGCAAAAAAAAAAAAAAAAGCTGCAATATCACTTTTCTTTTGCGTTTTGAATCCTTAGGCTATCCATATTTTTTATAGTACTGGCAGAAGTGATAGTGAAGGAGAAAGTGAAACCAAAAAATGAAAGTAAAACAAAAACATTTCACTTTTTTTCTTTCCTTCTTTGCACTTTATTATCTTTCAGTTTCAATTCGGGGAGTTTTTGTTTATAAAGCATTTAAAAATTATCTTGATAACTGAAGTACTAGGATTGTTTAGTCCAAATAAATTGTACTAGAAAGTTTTCATTTCTGTCATAGTTTCTTTTATATATAGATATATCTGTAAATATAATTTGTAAGTTAATTTTAATTGAAATGCTTTTTTTCTCATACCTTTGAATTTTAATGCAATTGACAGTCCTAATAAAAGTAGGAAGCCATATTAATGTGTTTATTTTATATGACAAGAATTTCTAATGTTATGTAAATTATTCCAGTTTCTTTATTATTTATAAATAACCCATTTGTAGCTCTTAAACTTTGTCAAAAGACCAAAGAGAGGATACAAATAGGAGCGATTAAATAAATCAAATGGTTTACATATTGTGAGAATACATTAAGGTCGCTTATTGCTAAAATGAAGATTTGTAAAAAAACTAAGTGGCACAAAAACTCAATGAAGTAAACTATAGGATGAAGTCAGTAATTCTCAGTTAGGAAACATGCCTCTCATGGGAATGGCAGAATCTCTGGGATAGCACAAGGGTATGGTTTGAAAAAAGCAGTTTACAAAAAAAGTAATAGTTTTATTCTTGTAAAATTTTAAAAAGGGGCCTCCCCAGTGGCGCAGCGGTTGAGCGCTGGGTTGCGAAGCTGCCCGCGGCCTCTGCGGCGCCGGTTTGATCCCTGGCTGCTCCCCGGCCACCGGAGGAGGGTCCCACATGGCGCATAGACCTCTCCTGCCGCCCGCTGCTCCCCTCAGCAGTGTACTTCGGTCCTTCTGCCTGCTCTGCTCCCCGCTCTGGCTCTGGTGAATTCTCGCACCCTCCCGCGCTTCTGACTGTACCCAGTGCATGTATAAACAAAATGAACAAACAAACAAAAAAATAAATAAATAACATGCCTCTATTTAAAAAAAAAAAAAAGTTAAAAAAAAATTTTAAAAAGGGTGATTTTATAATATAGCCCATCAGAGCTCATGCTCAATAGATTTGTCTTGGGCAGAGAGGAAACCTCAACTATAGGATCATTTCTAACCCTATATTTCAAATATAGAATGTGTTTGCTGGGTGTGCAATTGTAGCCCACTTAAAAGAAACCTACCAGACTTGAGCATTTGATGAGAAAATGTAAGGGTAAGTTTATCAAAAGTTTATCAAAATGAGAAACACAGTCTCTGGAATTGCTGACCAGCAATTTGAAACTACAGTTTTTCTGCTTTTGCAGACTGTCAGTACAAACAGCTTTAAACCAAAAGACATAGGGGATGTGGTAGGGTGTATTTTAATCTTGGTTTAATGTAATTCACTCTTGGTTGTTATTATTTTCTTCACATGAAAGGTCTTTTAAGTTAAAATAGTGCAGATATGATAGCCAAAACACATTGTAAGTGTCTTCGTTACAAAGGGAAGAACTGGATGAAACTTTTGACTCCCTCTTTCCATTATCTTAAACAGTTGCATTGTTTTTGTTTGTGTTTTACAGTTTTTGAGACAGTGTCCTTGAGTTCAGACTCTCTCTTCCAGAGGGCAGTTTCAATTCTCCATACTGCTTACTTGGACTCTGCATCTGAGCATGGCTTTCAGTACAGTCAAGTGACTTTGGTGAAAAATGACATTTTCTTAAATGAGGTGAGGTATTTGGTACACACGGTGTGTGCTAATTTTATTTTAGTTTTAAAACAAATAGACCCATTGTATTTGGTGTATAAGCCTGGTTCTCTTTAGTTGTCACTTTTCAGAGGGAATAAAAAAGTTTTGGAAAGTGTCACTTGGAAGGCAGGCAGTAATTATGTATTATAGGGAATCAAAAAATAATTTTATAAGTCTTAGTAGGAAGAATTCAGAATGCATTTTTGAAAATAATACTGCAAGGCAAACTAACATGTTGATCACATTTGGTTATTGTCTCTATACAGTACAAAACTTTTTACCAAGAAAAAAAGGCAAGTAACTATACTCAGGAAGAACTTCAAGAAACTTACGGGTTTCTTCTGTTTGAAACTGAAAATCAGGTAAGGGAATTTCATTGTAGAAAATTAATTTTGTGGTTTCAATGTACAAAATTAATGATAACTTTAATCTTAAATATTAATATTTCATTTCTGAGGGATTTATAAGACTGCCATTTCACCAGTCTCTTTTGTTGTGTAGCTCGTTGGCAGTGGCAGTGGCAGTGACAGTCAACCTAATAAGGGGAGAGATTTGATCTCTACAAATTTTCATTTGGTTGTCTTCAGTCATGCTGAGAATTGTATTAGTGCAGGATTTTAAAATATCAGTAAATGGGCCTCCCTGGTGGCACAAGGGGTTAAGCACTGTACTATGAAGCAATCCACAGCCTCTGCAGCACAAGTTCGATCCCTGCCCAGCCAGGGAGCAACCCACATGGCACAGCAGACCTTTCTTGTCTCACCCGCTGCTCCCCTCAGCAGTGTACTTCCGTCAATCTGCCTGTTCTGTTCCCCACTCTGTCTCTGGTGAATCCTCTCAACCCCCATATCTCTGGCCTGTGCCCCAGCTCTTCTATGCATAAATAAATAAATCTTTTTTTAAAAAAATAAAATATCGGTAATGCCTTTTAATGGAGTGCGTGCATATTTCTCCATTTTGGACCATTGCTTACATATATGCTGTGTTTTGTTTTGTTTTTTTTTAAGATTTATTTTTACTTATTTATGCATACAAGAACTGGAGTGTAGGCCAGAGCTGCAGGGGGGATGAGAGGATTCACCAGAGACAGAATGGGGAGCAGAACAAGCAGATCTACTGAAATACAGTGCTGAGGATAGCAGCGGGCAAGACAGAGGTCTGCCGTGCCATGTGGGTTAGCTCCCTGGCCAGAGATTGAACTCATGCTGCAGAGGCTGGTGATAGCTGGATAGTGCTGAGACTTAACCCCTTGTGCAACCAGGGAGGCCCCTGTTTACAGATATGCTTTATTTCTTATGGAGGTTTATCACACAAAGTTTTGGGAATAACATGAAGACTTTTAGCATTCTGATTACATGGAATTGATTCGTGCCTATCTTAGAAATTTTAATATTCTTATTGTTGCTTGTTACTAAATTGTGGGAGAAGGAAACTCCTGTGTGTATACATGTTTTCAAAGATGTGTGTGACTTTTTAGCTATAGGTTTTACAATAGCAAAAATCTGTTATTAAACTTAAAATAATTCAGAGGTAATATTTTGTTTGGGTTCATGTATTTTTAAGAATCAGGGTAGATTTGCTACAGAATAACATTATCATACAGCCTAAGTATTATATAGTACCAGAACAGTTTATTTACTTAATCATCTTCCAAATAAGATAGGCCCTGCATTCATACAAAATGAAAAGATATTTGGGAGTGAGACATTTTCAAATTTTGTGATTCCAGTGGAATAATTGAGAAAGAAATCTTCAAGAGAGGACTTACCTTGAGATTGTTTAATTTGGTTTTACTGAGGACATTTTTATTAAGTGAAATGGTAAAATTTCATGAAAAGCTTTGAACCATTGACTAAAGCATAATACCTTGCATATAAGCTTCTCTTGTGCCATGAATGCATACAGTGTAGAGATTCTATATTTATTTTGAAGATTATAGCTTATAATGTTATGTCTCCCCCAAGAGTGATATGATAAGCAAAGTAATGTCTTTCTTTTAAGGCAAAGTGGGTATGTCAGCGTGGACTCTGTGTTGGCAGTAGTGCGATTACCACTTTGGGTGATCCAGCGAAAGGTAAGACTGTAAGAAAAAGAATCTCTTGTTTACAAGAAGAAATGTGGTTAGTTAATTGTAAAATACCTATCTTAAAAATCTCTTTAGTGGGGCCTCCCCTGGTGGCGCAGTGGTTGAGCGCTGCAGCGCCGGTTTGATCCCCGGCCACTGGGTGAGGGTCCCACATGGTGCGCAGACCTCTCCTTGCTGCCCGCTGCTCCCCTCAGCAGTGTACTTTGGTCCTTCTGCCTGCTCTGCTCCCCGCTATGGCTCTGGTGAATTCTCTCAGCCTCCCGCGCTTCTGACTGTACCCAGTGTTTGTATAAATAAATAAATAAATCTTAAAAAAAAAAAAAAAGCTGTTCTTGTTTAAAAAAAAAATCTCTTTAGTGATAAATAATCTTTAGAATCAGTACTTTAAACATAAAAGTTAGCTCTGAATCTGAGTTAAGGTTTTCCAATAGGATTTATGTGATCGCAAAATGTTTTTGAACATTGGTTGGGCTAGAAAAGATACTGGAGGTATCTTTCGTTGTCACAAGATTAGTCATTTAGGGCTAATGAGTGTCTCTTCTAAACTATCATAATGGCAGTAGGAATAGAGAATAGATAGAACTTACCAAACGTGGCAACTATGGAATGTGAGGGGTGAGAGAAAGGAAATCATCAAATATAAGGTATTAAACTTAGATTACTGTGATATATTAACAGAAAAGAGACAGAAGAAAAGGGGATTGGTAGAGAAGTTGATGATTTAAGAGAAAAAGGTAATCATTCCCCACCTCCACAAACCTCACGCATTCTATGTTTTTCCTCTATGAATTTGCCTATTCCAGACATTCCATATAGATGGAATCATATGATCTTTTTTGACTAACTTCTTTTACTTAATCTTTTTGAAATTCATCTGTTATATCAGATACCAGTACTTCATTCTCTTTTTGATTGAATAATACTTCATTGTACGCTTATGCCACGTATTATTTATCCACTCTGCAGTTGGTGAACATTTGGTTGTTTCCACTTTCTGAATATTATGTATAATGCTGCTGTGGATAGTCATATACAAGTTTTTGTGTAGGATATATACCTAGAGGTGAAATTGCTGGGTCATATGGTAATTCTATGTAAAACAAACTAGTAAAAATATATTCAACACTTTTTTTAAGATTTTGTTTTTGTGTAGAACTGAAGTGTAGGCCTGAGAGTAAGATTTGAGAAGATTCACCAAAGATAGAGTGGTGAGCAGACCAGGTGGATTTACTGAAATACACTGCTAAGGGGAGCAGTGGGCAAGACGGAAAGGTCTGCTATGCCATATACGTTTTAGTAACCTGGCCGGGGATCGAACTCAGACGGTCATGGTGCTAACACTGAGATTTAACCCTTAGGCCACCAGGGAAGCCCTGTTTGTCTCAGCTTAAGGACATGAATGGGAATAAATTCATAACCCCAAGAGTACTTTACATAAAACCTTTTTTCACCCCCCATTTTATTCTCCCTCACCTCACTTCTTTTCATTATGACAAATGCTAACTTGTAGAAAAAATAGTATAGCATAATGTACCCATAACCTCAGTTTATAGATAATGTTTTGCATTATTCCCTTCATTTGATTAAAAAAGTTTTGTGTTTTTTTTTTAAGATTTATTTATTTATTTATACAAGTACTGGGTACAGTCAGAAGTGCGGGAGGGGAAGAGAATTCACCAGAGCCAGAGTGGGGAGCAGAGCAGGCAGACTGACGAAACATACTGCTGGGGGAGCAGCAGGCGGTGCAGGAGAGGTCTGCGCGCCATGTGGGACCCTCGCCAGCCAGGGATCAAACTGGCGCTGCAGAGGCTGCAGGCAGCTTCACAGCCCAGCACTCAACTGCTGCGCCACCAGGGAGGCCCTAAAAAAGATTTTTTTAGAGAATTTGAAAGTAAACTACAAGTAAACACCTCTGCTTACATCTCAAAACATAATATTTTTCTACATAATTACTTTAGACTTGATTACCATGGGCCTTTTCACTGAATGATTGCATAGAGAAAAAATAGACAAACTTAGAATTTTCCAAGAATTTATTTTTATCCCTTTTCAGTTATTGAACTCAATTAAAAAACTGATGGTCAAACAGATGGATTCTGTTTTGTCTTAGCTGTGATGTTTCCATATCTCTAGAATATCACAAATAGTGATTTTTTAAAAATGTACAGTTCAGTCAGAAGGAGAAAGATAAATACCGGATAGTGTCACTAATATGTGGAATATAAAGTAGCTAAATTAATAGATAAAGACAAGCGGAAAAACAAGCTCTTGATAGATACTACAGAATTTAGGTACCAAGCGGGGAGGGAGTGAGGAAGGAGAAAGAACAGAGAAGAAGGGAGGTATATAATGGTCTGTGGTGGAGTGTGGGCGAGCTGGTGGTGGATACACTATGGTGGTAATAACTGATGGGGTTACCCTGATGTTAACACAGCTAAAAATTAATTACTTTTGGGCCTCCCCGGTGGCGCAGCGGTTGAGCTGGGTTGCGAAGCTGCCCGCAGCCTCTGCGGCGCCGGTTTGATCCCCGGCTGCTCCCCGGCCTCCGGAGGAGGATCCCACATAGCGCGCAGACCTCTCCTGCCGCCCGCTGCTCCCCTCAGCAGTGTACTTCGGTCCTTCTGCCTGCTCTGCTCCCCGCTCTGGCTCTGGTGAATTCTCTCACCCTCTCCCGCTTCTGACTGTACCCAGTGCTTGTATGCATAAATAAACAAACAAATAAATCTAAAAAAAATTAATTACTTTTAAAATATTAAGAAAAAAATGAAAAAATGTACAATTCAATTTTTTACAAATGTTTACTTTGTCTTTTATAATCTTGTTGAGTCAATAGGTAGCCCTATGTATGAATTGTATATATGTAAACAATTTTTTTGAAGTCTAAATTATCCTATATTTCATTCTTTTATAGGTGTCTACATTTCTAAATACTCAGATTATCTTCATGCAAGACCATGGTATCATGGGAAGTCTGGCTATGTGGTTATTTTTAATCTAATTAAGGTAAAGCCTAATGTATGTCTATGTAATTTCCTTTTAGAAAATCAAAGTTATCAGTCTGTGATAATGTTCTTTACAGACCATTAGCTAAACATAGTCCTTGCTAAAGATAGCTGTACAAATTTAGGAAAAAATAGAAAAAATAATTGTTATTTTTGCTTTTCTTTATAAAAGGACAAAGTAAAATGCCTTTTTCTCACCACTGTCCTACAGTGCCACTTTTTAAACATTACATAACGCAAAGCTTGTAGTTCCTTGTAAAACAATGTGAACACACAGAAGATGAAGTTTGAAAGCAACCTCCAATGTCTGGTTTAAGTCAAAATAAACAAAATTATTTTTTTATCCATCAAATAGCTAGACTTGGTTCACAACTTCTTGTGACACCTGTAGTGATGAACCTCCAAGTTCTTAAATATCCTTAAATTGCGTAGTGTAAGTGAATCACACAATTAGATTTTCACCCAAACAGTAAGAAAATCTTGATTTTAGATGTTGGTGGGTTTTTTGAAGACACATTCTCTGGTCTTGTTTCATTGTTTTGCTTCACTTTGGTTTAACATTTTTACTATCTTACTATCTATATTTAACTTTCTTGGATTATAAACCCAACGCTACTAACTTTTTTAAAAGAGTGTGAACTCTTTTTTTTTAATAAAGATTTGTTATTTATTTATGCATATAAGAAGTAGGGTACAGGCCTGAGGTGCGGGGGGTGAGAAGATTCACCGGAGAGAGTGGGGAGTAGAACAGGCAGATCTACTGAAATATACTGGTAAGGGGAGCAGTGGGTGAGACAGGAGAGGTCTGCTGCACCATGTGGGTAGCTCCCTGGCTGGGGATTGAACTCTTGCTGCAGTGGCTGGCAGTAGCTTGATAGCGCTGTCTCTAACTCCTGTGCCACCAGGGAGGCCCCTGAACTCTTTTACTCCAAAATTTGTCTGAAGAACTGGAGGGAAAGCAGCATGTGTACTGTAGTACATCACTGCTTTTCCTGTCATGGTTTTCCCTCTCCTGTCTGGTGAAAAGTATTATGTCTGAAAAGTCTGGTGAAAAGTTCTGCTGCAGAGAGTATGTCTTTAAGCCAGCTAAGATAATCAACGTTTAGTGTTTTTGTTTTTTGTTTTTTTTTTTCCATTGATGTCAGATTGCATCTCACCTTAGGCTTCTTGTTCCTGTCTGCCTGGATATTACTGCTTAGTGTTTGCCTAAATGTTCTTGGTCTTCCTTACATTACTGTCCAATAGCCAGCCATGTCCAACATTATAATATGTATGATGGGGCGAAGAAACAGTGTAATTGCTTGCTTAGAAGTACTATTTATAATCTTTCACTTATTAATATTACCTTTGGTGGTCATTTAAATGAAGAGGGAGCACCTAAACAGCAAAACAAAAACAAAAGCAAACTTTTTTTTTAAAGATTTATTTATTTATGCATATAAGAGCTGGGGTACAGGCCAGAGATACAGGGGGTTGAGGGGGTGAAGGATTCACCAGAGACAGAGTGGGGAGCAGAACAGGTACATCCACTGAAACACACTGCTGAGGGGAGGAGAGTTTATATAAATGTATGTGCTCTTTTTTGACTTAACAATATGTTGTAAGCAGTTTTTATGTCATATTATTCAACACAGCATTTGCCTTTGATATTTCCTGTAAACTTGGCCGCTGTTTTCTTTTTTGGGGGAGACATAACCCTTGATGAAGAGAAATTTATAATGGGAAATATGGGAAATACTGTCAAGCTGTTCAGTAGTCAGAGCAGTGGCCTGCTAAGCACTTATTGCATATTTGCTCCTTTACTGCAAATTTGTACCTTGCTAATTTACTTGCTTCTTGCCTAATGGAAATATCTACGTCTGTAATTTATAATTAGCAAGTTAAATTTCAGTTTGGAAACTTATCTTTTGAAATTTTAGATTTCCCTCGTGATCTTTTAAGTTACAATCTTAAATCATTGACGTGCCAGTTTGTTTGGTGCACTGTATGGTTTTTCTTTTAAAGAAGTGGTTCTTGGGCCTCCCTGGTGGCACAGGGATTAAAGACAGCTCTTTCAATCACTGCAGCAAGAGTTCGATTCCCAGCCGGCCAGGGAGCTTCCCACATGGCACAGCAGACCTCTCCTGCCTAGCCTGCTGCTTCCTTCAGCAGTGTATTTCAGTAGATCTGCCTGTTCTGCTCCCCACTCTCTCTATTGAATCCTCTCACCCCCTGCACCTCTGGCTTACACCCCAGTTCTTGTATGCATAAATAAATAAATCTTTGGAAAAAAAGAAGTAGTTCTCTTTAAATTTGGGGTTATTTCATTTACGCCTTTAATACTGTGATAAAGGCTCTAGACATGCCTTAAAGAGATGCTCAAACATACTAGATTTTTTAATAAGCAGTTCATGGATAATTAAACCTATTATTGACCTTAAAGTAATTTTCTAAAAGCCATAGTTTATAATACAATGAACTGTTTAAAAAAACATACGTGATCTTATCAGGCTACAATTAAATGAATCCTAGGGTAAGATTATTGTTGCCTGAAGACATCTGATTTAGTCTTTTATGTTTTCATTCTAGGGGAAAGTCAAATTTGTGCCTGAAAATTATACAACTAACTATACTAGTCCATCTTCTGGCTATGATTGTCACGTTGCTGCAAATACTAACAAGGTTTCTCACAAGACGAGTCATTTTCGTACCTATGAATTGAGTCAGGTATAGTTACCTGGGAATAAATAATCCCCAAGATACATTTCTGAATCTAATGTGTTAAATTTCAGGAAGGGGTGGGACTGAAATGAACCTGGTGATATGGAGTTCCCTAATGCTATTTTGATAATACTTAATTTTTCTTCTTTCAGTATTACCTCTATGAGCTTTCAGGCAACACTGTTACAGAGCGACCCAGACAGCTCTGTCCTTATGTAATTGTAACTTTTCAGTACAGGGAACCTAAAAAGATGGCCACACCAACTCATAAAAGCATGTAAGTAATTGTGTCTGTATTTTGTTTTACTGGATTTGTTTTCTTTGCTCTTATAAAACGGTTTTTCTTTTTTTCCGCCCCTAGACTTGAAATCAGTGAAAATGGTAAGAAGTTATTTTAATTATTTTTTTCAGCTTTTTTTTTTTAAGTAAATGTTTTGTTCACAAATAAAATCTGTTTCTTATCCTCATTTCTTAAAGTTCTCTCTCCATGGAAAGGGAAACTAATTATTCAAGGCTGCTTGCTATGTGATATAACACTGTGGGCTTCTTGTGGTACAGTGATTCCAGCTCAGCTGTAAGTATTGAGTTTGTGTCCTTACTAAAGCTTACATAATATTTTTAAATCTTCGTTTTGACATCTTTCTGGTTGGCAGTAGTGTGAAATATAGCAATTGTACTTGGTTATTTTTTGTTTGTTTGTTTTTTTAAAAAGATTTATTTATGCATACAAGAGATGGGATGCAGGCTAGAGGTGTATGTGTGTGTGTGGGGGGGGTGGGTTGAGAGGATTCACCAGAGGTAAAGTGGGGAGCAGAACAGGCAGACTGAGTGAAACACACTGCTGAGGGGAGCAGCGGGCGAGACAGGAGAGGTCTGCTACGCCATGTGGGTAGCTCCCTAGCTGGGGATCAAACTCGTGCTGCAGAGGCTGCAAATAGCTTCATAGTGCTGTGCTTAACCCCTTGCGCCACCAGGGAGGCCCTTGTACTTGGTTTCATGTTAGGGTACTTTTGAGGAAATGTCATGGAGCCATGACACAGGAGGCCTAATTGGTGTGCAAGCAGATTCATTTTGTTGATACTGGCCTTTTTAAAGAAGTGGGTTGTTATAAGATAAAGTGCTGTGATTAAATAGAAGATAAGGGAAGGTTCTTCCTCAGCGTAGAAAAAAATGATGGAATTAGAAAATAACCTTTTGGCGAAATGATGATAATAAATGATTACTAAAAATAGTAGGGGAAAGTTGGGTGATACTTGTATATCTCACAGTGTTTCCCCATACTTATTAATAACAAAAGGGGGAAAGTAGAGACTATACAGTAGGAATAACTGGAAGAAGCCATTTTATTCAAGTGAAGTGACCAGACATCATGTGCCTCCTACTAAGATGCACAGAGAATGGCACAGTGTCATTTGTGGTGTTCCTGCCAGTCTAAATAGAAGAAGGAATCATTGAGGGACTTTGCAAAGTAAGTGCTGTATAATCTTAGGAAAAAAACAAGCAGCCTCATTAAAGATAAAGGGAAAGGAAGAAACTATTTCTGATTGATGGAAACTAAAAAAAACATAGCTAAAATGGCAGTGTGACATCCCAGGTTGGATCATAAACCAGGGTTGGTTTGTTGTTTTTGTTTTGTTTTGTTTTTGTTATAAACCACCTTAGTGAAACAATTAGCAAAATTTGAGTGAGGGCTGTATGTTTTTTAAAAAATGGTACTATAGCTTTGTTAACTTCTTGATTTTGCTAATTGTGGTTCTATAAGGAATATGTCCATTTTTTAGGATACAGAAGTTTTTAGGGGGAAGGGGAAGGATACAGAAGTATTTAAGTGGAAGTATTTAGGGGGAAGTCTACAAATGTTTAAAATGAGTTTCAAGAAAAGTATTCATGGGAAATGATACAAGATCTGGATGTGGTCCTTTATGTTGTACTGAGTGGTAGGCAACTCAGTATTGTCAAAAGATTTCAGTTCTCATTCCAGTATGCACAGTTCTTCTACACATCTGAATATTTTGCTTATATGAAAATAACATTCATTCAGAAAATACTAACATAACTGCAGACCATGGTCTATGGATTATATATTTGAAAACCTGTAATTATAAATAAGCACATTATTTGACCTGGAGTCTTATAAATTTTAAGGACTTCTTGGTACTTAGGATATTTTAGCTTGCATTTTTATTAGAAAACCAAAAATAATGATGTTTCACTGTTTATTACATTGCTTAATATTGTTGTTTTGATATTTTTTAGACCACATGAACTAGATTTTAAATATGTAATGAAAGTATCATCTTTGAAAGAAAGACTACCGGAAGCTGTCTTTAAAAAACAGAATTACTTGGAGCAAACAGGTCTGTTCAAATGTAATAATGCACTGCTCATCCAGGGAAGGCCAACTAGAAATTATAAAAAGTCATTTCATCTAAGGTGGCAAAGACTAGCTTTATAATAGAACACTAAGGGGAATCAATTAGATATCCTTCCAAATAGTTGGGGACTCATACCATTCCTTTTAAGGAGAACAGTTTTTTGGTTATTTATTTATTAGTGGAAGAATAAAGAGAACATGGGGGAATTTCTTGGTCATTTAGATTAATTCATGGAACACCAGTGTCTTTATTTATATAGTATCTTTTATTAATCTTATAGTAGTATCAATATAAGTGAAAGCAGTTTCAAATACATTATACAGAAACTTTATTAAGGAGCTTTATAAGAACATTGAATGATAAATGTTTTTTAATAGTTTTCCTAGTTTTTAATGTTTTTTATTAAATTTTTAAAAATTTAATGTTTTTTATTATTTATTTAATAGTTTTTAATAAACATTTTTAATAAATGTTTTTTAATAGTTTTCCTAGTTCTTTTTTCATCTTTGCAACATACAAAATGAGTAAGTTGGTTATATAAAAGCATAATAGCATTTAAAATAAGACATGTTTTTTCTGATTTTCTCTAGTCTTTAACCAGGATATGTGCTTCAATACGTATAAGGTGGAACTATCAAACAAACAAGGGGAAAAGATAGATCAACTAACAAAATACATTAAAAATAAACAATTGGTAAGAGCCATCAATTTAAAGTACAATTTTTTTCCATACAGAAATTGATATCTTATTATTTAGTGACTGTGCCTAGACGGGAATTATTTTAGCTTTCTTAAAGGACTTTCATCATTTAATATTTATTGGCATATTATTGATATATTTATTGACTAACATTTTTATCCTTTTCATTTGCTTTTGTTTCTAGTAAAACATGACAGTTCATAAATGAGTAAATTTATACTTCCCATTGTAATAATAGGAGGACCATTTTCTCCAGTCCTTTGTTGTTTTGTTTTATGACAGATTTACATAGATTCCTTGTATTTCCTTAATCATAGGACCATTTGTAAGCTACAGCTTTATTTTTTTATTATATTTTAAAGATTTATTTTTATTTATTTATACATACAAGAACTGGGGTATAAGCTAGAAGTGCAGGGGGTGACAGGATTCGCCAGAGACAGAATCAGGAACAGAACAAGCAGATCTACTGAAATACACTAAGAGGAGCAGCGGGTGAGACAGGAGAGGTCTGCCGCACCATCTGGGTTAGCATCCTGGCCAGAGATTGAACGCATGCTGCACTGGCTGGCAATTAACTTGATAGTTCTGAGACAAATCCCTTGGGCCACCAGGGAGGTCCTGGTAGGCTACAGCTTTAAAAGTGATCCGTGTCTATCCATAGGTTTATAAGGAGGAAAAAGTTTGCTGCTTCTGCAGTTTCTTCCATAGTGTAAAAAGTATTCTACTGAGAAATATATAATAATCCAAAGACTTCTGTTTTGTTAACCATGGGTAATCATTGTGAGTAAATGCTAACTTTATAGTGAGTGATTCCTAAACATCCCAAAGGAAATGGTGCAAATGTGGGATAGTTAGTAGCAAGGATGGGCCACTTTAGTGATTTGATGAATAATCGCCATAGTAGATAGCAAGAAATCAAGTAAAAAGAGCATGTATCTACACTGTGAAGTGTGATTAAGTGTGATCAAACCAGCTTGAAAAATGAAGGGACTAAACAGGCTTGCTTTTAAAATCTGGGTAATAAGATAAGTTCGTGTACTGTTTGTGCAGGATTCTTTCTCTTTTATATCACCCTCCTCTGTGCAATATTTTTGTCTTGAGGCTGCCAATCAGGGCTACATACTTTTTTTCACTTCCAGAGGAGAGAAATATTCCTTACCCAAACCATGACTGCAGTCTCATTAGAACATTGTATTTCATCTACATATTCCTCAACAGTAACTGAAAAGGGAGTGGACTGCACTGATAAACCCAGGCCATTAAGAGCCTGCCTCCAAGAACTGGATCCAAGGTCGGTTCTCCCAATCTTTAGTGGTGCTCCAGAGCAGAAGACTTAGCTCTGTAATTAAGGAGGTGTGGCCTGGCTTAGAGATTGGGTATGGAGTGGAGAGATACTGAGTATCTTCTGTAGGGTAGTAGTCTGGTTTTCTAAGTAGCATGGTCCATTTTTTCTTTCAAAATTAAAAGAAAGGCCAAAGCTATTTTCAAAATCAGCATTAGTAAGTGGACCTTTTTTGCTTATAATACTGAAAGTTAGAGACAGTACAGAACTTTGCTTTGAAACCTGCTTATTAATAATAATAATTACTTATGAAAATCACATCACATAGGGTCCTTCTGCCTCAGTACTGCATGCTTTTTACTATATTGTACATACTAGTCTCCCCAGCTAGACATTGAATTCATTGGTATCGTGTCTTAAGCATCTTTGACACCTTAACACCTGGTATGTATAGTGGACAAACAATAAATGTCCCTAGAGTAAAGCATATATGGGTTTGTGTCTAGGATCCTGAACATCAAGAGCAGTACAGAGGTCTCCTTTTTAAAAAGTGTTAAGGATATTTATGACTATTTTTCTGTGTATATGGAAGAGGCTAGAAGTAGTATTTAAAAGATTCTGTGATTTCTCCCCAAGAAGACTGAAAGAGAAATGGAACCCACTGGTAAATAGTTTGAGAGACTAATAAAATATATACTACATATTTGTTCTGTTTGCTCATTTTTTTTTTAGAAGCCAGAAATAAATAGTTTTAAGAGAATTTTACTTTTCATCTATACTACAAAATTAAAATGCAGACTATTATAGGTAAAACTTGTCACTTTCACTTTTTATACCAATAGAAAAGCAAATGAAAATTACACCTATTTGTAAATTAATACATACCAAAGTTGTAAGCATATATAACTATGGGTATGTTTATTCAACAATTTTTTTGAGTGCTTACTCTGTGTGAAAAGCAAAGATACAAAATAAATAGTCCCTGCTATCTAGGGGCTGTAAGACTGACAGAGACAAAAATGTAAACTGTCAGTTGCCTAGGGGCTATAATAGAAATGTGTGGAGACTCACAAAAATGATTGTTCTTTGTGAGCGAAGTATCTGTGTCCTAAGTTAGTTGTAATATAATTAGAAGTTTCTCTTTTGTACTTTCATTGTTACTGAATAATTGATTGATTTACCATATTTGTAGGCTTATATCCTATCAGTTCTTCAAATAAAGGATTTCATTCCTTTATTGTATAAAAGTGTATTTTGTTTAGTTTATGAATGTTGAATTTTATCTTACGGATGTATAGGTTCTTGGGATGGTGAACAGTGGAAAAGAGCTGTTATTTTTATTATTTAGAAGAACAACTTTTAGATAACTTCCCGTGCTACCTGAGAGGAAAATTCCCTTAGTTACTGTGAGCATTAGAATTTCATGATAATTTTTTCTTTGAGCTCAAGATTCCACTGAAGACTGATAGAATTAAAGGAAGAATTTATTTTCCTCTGCATTTCTTGTTGCCACAGGGCTTGATTGTCATATTTCCTATTATTATTCATCTCTTAGAATAGTGTGGAAAGGATTTTTTTATTGGATGATGTTTTTCAATCTTTCTAGTTCCAGGATTCTATGATTATGTTTTATGTAAACTTGGCCTTAAGATGCTGGTCAATGGTCTGATTCACTTTAATTTTGTACTGGCTAAATGGTAACATTCTGGCTATGTAGAAGCAGTAAGAAATAGCATGTATCTCAATGAAAAAATAAAATGTCTTTTCTCATTGATTTATTATATAATTGAATACTAACCAAAAACTAACCCTTGATGTTCTAGTTAGTATGCTGCCCTAACAAGTCCCAGAACTTTCAGGTCCTGATATTCTTCTGATTCCCAGAAGCACTAACATTTCAAGTTTTTGTTTTTGTTTTTTTACTTTTCATCAGTTCAAAATTCACTGAAGAAGAATGTAGTAGAGGGAAAAAGGAAAAAGAGGAATTGAATTTTTTTTCATGTACTTTTTTTTTTAATGTTTAAGGCCATCATCAAATGCTTAGAAGATCGGGGATTTTTCATTTTACTTACATCATCAGCCTTAATATCAGAAACAAGTAAGGACAAATTTTTTGAATAAAGAAATTTTTTTCAGTTTGCTTATTTTTGTTTTAAAAGTCAACAACCTAACTTTCTTGTTTTTATTTTGTGTAGATAATGGAGATGAACAGATGGGTCTACATGGGTTGCATTTATTCTTTTCATCCCTGTCAATAGGTAAGGGCACAGTGACTTACAGTTCACTAAATCTGTTGGCTTTTTTCAGTCCTCGTCTACGAGGTTCAACAGCACATGACCCTGTCACCTATTTTCTTCTGTTCAGTAATTCTTTTCCTTAATCTCATGATTGTTCTTTGTCACCTTTACAATTTTAGCCTTCCATTGAGCTTCACACCCAAATATCCACCTATCTTTTGACATTTTCACCTAGATGTCGCAGATAGTCCTTACTCAGCATGTCCAAACTGAATTCATTTGTTATTGAACAGTAGTAGCTAGGAGATGCATTTCTCATAGTCTAACAAGTAAGTAGGTCTTACAGCTTTCACAGGTGCAGGTTCCTCTGTTTGGACTTGATCAAGTGGTGTTGACTGCCAGGACCAAAAACTAACTCTTGGCAAAAATATATTACTCATTATAAAAGCAGATGTAAGTATATCTGTGATATTAAAATTTCAGAGGGCAATTAGGGGAAAAGTTTTTAAAAATCCTCTTGGAGAGGTGGTGGGTGGGTAATGAATACCCATGTAGCCTATTCTTACAGATATCTACCAGATTTCATTTTAAATATGATTTCATTGATTCCTGTCACCATTCTTCCCTCAATGAGGAGTCCCCAAGTATAGCAACATAATTTAAATATTTTCATTATTTTTCACCCTGCCTTTATACTAATGTATCCCTACCACTTCGCAGTGCTAGGCATCTAGAAAATAATAATTGTTTCCTTAACAGTTATTAAAAATATAAGTAAATGGTCATTTCTTCCTATTATAGGAGGGAATTTTCTTCGTTTTATAGTTATACTATGTATATTTTTAAAAAGTTGTATGTAGTATTTGTAAGACTATAACCAATACAAAAATGGGTTTTTAGAGTGTTTTTTTTTTCTTTTTTAAAGAGGCATGTATTTATTTATTTGTTTGTTTGTTTGTTTGTTTGTATATGCACTGGGTACAGTCAGAAGCGCGGGAGGGTGAGAGAATTCACCAGAGCCAGAGCGGGGAGCAGAGCAGGCAGAAGGACCGAAGTACACTGCTGAGGGGAGCAGCGGGCGGCAGGAGAGGTCTGCGCGCCATGTGGGACCCTCCTCCGGAGGCCGGGGAGCAGCCGGGGATCAAACCGGTGCTGCAGAGGCTGCGGGCAGCTTTGCAACCCAGCGCTCAACCGCTGCGCCACCGGGGAGGCCCCGGTTTTTTTTTCTTAATTGTATTCAGTTACTCAAGGCAAAGAGCTGCACTTTCTTAGGCAAGAGTACTTTGGAATAAACAAAACATTTCCAGTTATAACAACCATAATGGCAAAAGCTGTTTGCATTTTTTAAGCATTTACTATTTAGCATTGTACTGTTTAGCAGCTCTTAAAATAGGTATTCTTATTATGACCATTTCAAAGATATGGAAACTGACTCTTAAATTTACCCAAGGTCTGACAGCTGATTCTCGAGCTGGCTTCTAGCTATCATCCCTATTGTCTCCCTCTTCTGTAAGAGTTGATTTTGCTCAAACAAGAATCATTAGGGGGGGCCTCCTCGGTGGCGCAAGGGGTTAAGACTCAACTGTGAAGCTGTCTGCAGCCTCTGCAGTACAAGTTCGATCCCCAGTGGCCAGGGAGCTACCCACATGGCATAGCAGACCTCTGCTGACTCGCCCACTACTCCCCTCAGCAGTATACTTCAGTCAATCTGCCTGTTCTATTCCCCACTGTCTCTGGTGAATCCTCTCACCCCACCACACCTTGGGCCTGTACCCCAGTTCTTGTATGCATAAATAAATCTAAAGAAAAAAAAGAATCATTAGAACTTGTACCATTCACTGTTTACTATTTTTTTTTTTTTTTTTTTAAGATTTATTTATTTATTTATTAGATTTATTTTTATTTATTTATACAAGCAGTGGGTACAGTCAGAAGCATGGGAGGGCGAGAGAATTCACCAGAGCCAGAGCGGGGAGCAGAGTAGGCAGAAGGACCGAAGTACACTGCTGAGGGGAGCAGTGGGCGGCAGGAGAGGTCTGCGCGCCATGTGGGACCCTCCTCTGGTGGCCGGGGAGCAGCCGGGGATCGAACCGGCGCTGCAGAGGCTGTGGGCAGCTTCGCAACCCAGCGCTCAACCGCTGCGCCACCGGGGAGGCCCTCACTGTTTACTATTAAACAGCTCTGGGAGTCTTGTGTTGCAGTCCTCTTGTTCCTTGAGATTTTCTACTTAGGGTTATTCAAAGGTTATTTTATACTGAGGTTTTAAATTGAGTGGTACTTTAACGGACTTAAAATTTTTCTTTTCTATACATTTTTTAAAAATATATTACAAATCATTGAATTCTGCCTTTCCAATTCTTTCTTGAAATAATGACGTTGTTTGGACAAATACTACTCTATTGTAAATTAAATTACAATATTGTTAGCAGTATATAAGAACATTTTTTAAATTTTTCTGTCATTTGTTACTTTATTAATGATGAACTTCAAAGAAAGGAATTTTTATTTTCACGTCTAGTCACATTTCCCAAGTATATTCCTATTTATCATTCTTTTTCTAATGCCTGTTTGAGTGTGAATATTTTTAGTAAGGAATAACTTGATGTTTCTTAAACCTGCAGTTAATTTTTCTTTAAAAAGGAAGGTATAGGGCCTCTCCTGTGGCGCAGCGGTTGAGCGCTGGGTTGCGAAGCTGCCCGCAGCCTCTGCAGCGCCGGTTCGATCCCCGGCTGCTCCCCGGCCACCGGAGGAGGGTCCCACATGGCGCACACGCAGACCTCTCCTGCCGCCCGCTGCTCCCTTCAGCAGTGTACTTCGGTCCCTCTGCCTGCTCTGCTCCCCGCTCTGGCTCTGGTGAATTCTCTCACCCTCCCGCGCTTCTGACTGTACCCAGTGCTTGTATAAATAAAAAAATAAATAAAAATAAAAAAATAAATCTTAAAAAAATAAATAAATAAATAAAAAGAAAGGTATAGGGCCTCCCCAGTGGCGCAGCGGTTGAACGCTGGGTTGCGAAGCTGCTCTACAGTGCCGGTTAGATCCCCGACCACCAGGCGAGGGTCCCACATGGCCGCAGACCTCTCCTGCCGCCCGCTTCTCCCCTCAGCAGTGTACTTCGTCTGTCTGCCTGTTCTGCTCCCCGCTCTGACTCGAATTTTCTCACCCTCCCGCGCTTCTGACTGTACCCAGTGCTTGTATGCATAAATAAATTAAATAAATAAATAAAATCTTAAAAGAAAAAAAAGGTATAAGTCACAATTCTGGTTAATAGGCTAAATAGGTTTTTGTTATTTATGAATTTTGTTACTAATAGCTCTTAAATTTTTTAGGATTCTATACCCAGTTCTCAGTAACCTGACCTTTTTTTTTCTTACACTATTTTCTTTTGGTTATTGATTTACTGAAAAAAAATAAGCATTTAAGTCAGAGAGTTGACATTTCAGTCAGGAAGAGAAAGTTAAATACAGACAATTCAGTTCGGTTAATTAATTAAAAATATTTTTTATTTCATTTGGTAAAGAAGGTGGTGAAATTAACACTAATTGTAACTGTGAAACTTGGGGGGTTAGAAATTTATGTTTTTTCAGTTTAGCTGATGTGTATTGTAACTTCTAAAAAGAATTTGAAGTATTTAATGTAAAGTACAAATAAAATGAGATTTTTTTTTTAAAGATTTATTTTTTTATGCATACAAGAACAAGGGTATAGGCCAGCGGTGTGGGGAGTGAGAGGACTCATTAGAGACAGAGTGGGGAACAGAACAGGCAGACTGATTGAAATACACTGCTGAGGGGAGCAGCAGCTGAGTCAGGAGAGGCCTGCTGTGCCATGTGGGTCACCTTCCTGGCTGGGGATCAAACTTGTACTGCAGTGGATGTGGATAGCTTCGAGTGCTGTGTCTTAACCCCTTGCGTCACCAGGGAGTCCCAAAATGAGATATATTTTAAAAGCAGGAAATAATTAAGTAGAAAGCAGATATACCAGTTCTCAAAGCCGGTACTGTGGTGACAGCACACTGAATTCACAGTGGGCTCCTGGTTACCTAAGGTGCTAGAAGCAAGTCTTCCACCTTTATCCTAACTTAGTGATTATATTTAAGTAATTCTTTTTCATGTGTGTGAGGTATTTCATATAAATGGAGAAACATATTAATTGTACCCGTAAGTCTTGTATTAATTGCCATTTAGGTTATCATTTGAAACACTCTGTCATGTTAAACTTTATCTTATTTAACTATCCCATAATTTTGTAACCTAACGCAGTTTTATAAAATTATAAAAACCTCAGATTTTTCATATGTGTATATATTTTTTAGGAATGAGAGACTTGCAAGTTGAAGATGATATCTCATTGAAGGTGGTACCTGTTTTACCTGCCCTTAATTGTGCCCTGCTGGAAGCAAAGAAATCATTTACTGAAGACGGAATCTGTTTAAACACATTAGTAAGGCATAATTTCCAAGAATTGCACAAGGCAGACAAAAATTCATTGACGGCTGCTTCTCAGGATGAAATTAAAGAGACTGCATTGTTTGACAAACTGTCCAATGGCTTTGACTTGGTTCCTCCAGCTGAAAAGTGCCCTTTACAGTCTTTAACTCAGTTGAAGTCATATCTTTCAGATCCTAGTGGTTACATTTTGGAAGTATCTACTACATTAGATTTGTTGACAGAGCATCCTCAGTCTCCTTGTATTTCTGATGGAATTTGTGATGCTGGATTTTCTTTAGTTATGACTCCAGATCCTGAATTTCTTGACTCAGAGGCAGAAACCAGAAAAGAAACTGGAACAGAAAAGGATTCTGAAGAAACATTTAAAGCAAGGCAAGGCATGTTAGTTTCATTAAGTCCAGCATCAAATCTGAGAGTTAAGCCTAAGAGAAACGCAAGCACACTGTCTGTGGAACACAGTAAAACGGTGAACTTAAGCCTCTCCATCCCCAAAAGAACTCCTGCTGAAGCAGACAAGGGTTCAGAATATCCAACAACTCTAAAATTAGTCAAAGGACATTTTCCTCAGAAAAGAAAAAGAGGTAAGCGTGATTTATATTAAATGAACATTTGTAATGACTTGTATTCTAACATTGTACCTCTCTGTATCAGTATGGATTGTCGCTTGGAAGCATTGGTTAAAAGTTTGTTAGAAATGCCAGCATTTCTCTTCAGGTGATTTGTCTGTATGCTCAAGTTTGAGAACCACTAATGTAGGTAACAGATGAACAACTGTAAAATATCTTAAAAGCCCATTCATGAAAAGCTTAATTTCACTTGTAAGCTTAATTTCACTTAATTTCTGTATTTTTTCCAAGAAAGATGGCTATCCAGGCTGTCCAATTTCTAAGCCCCTCCTTGGGGGAAGTCTTCTAAAATCAGGCACACTAGTAACAGCAAAGAGCAATGATTGCTATGATTGCTTGCCTGAGCATATATAGAAGGGGGAGGAAATACCTGGTATCTCCAAATGTAAAGCAGTCTGAGACAGAATTTCTAGTCCTTTGAACGTATCAGAATTTTAAACATGGTCATCTGGGTCCTGATACAGACCTATCTAAATATTGTACACTGACCTGTATACATACATACATACATACATACATACATACATAAACAGGTCCACAGGTGGTTTTGATGCCCCCTAAAAGTTGAGTGAGAATCAGTGTCTCAAGCCATTTAGTGTCTAGTCAGATAAACTTTGTCAAACCGCATGACAAAATCATGATTTGGCTTAGCGTCATCTCATATTACATTTAGGTTTCTTTGTGTAAAAATAGGAACTATGTGCTTATAATTTCCCCATAAACAATGGTAGCCAAAAACCTATCATTTACCTGTTGTCTGGCAATTTTCACACTGTGCTGGCAGAGTTGAACAGTTGTGACAGAGACCAATTAGTCTTCAAAAATGAAATGTCTGTCATCTGGCTCCTAAATAGTTTTGCCAACCTTATCTATAGTATTTTGAATTTAGAAATTTTGGTACTCAAAGAGGAAGTATCAAGTATATGCAAATCCCCAGGATTTCTAGATAATTAAGGTTTGAGCCTATGGTTTAACAAATAGTTATTATTGGCCCATTATAGTGTGAGAAATGGTGTGTGTGTGTGTGTGTGTGGTGTGTGTATGTGTGTATTTAGGGGGATGGTGGAACGTACAGCAATATAAAGCAGTAGTAATCAGACTATATAATTATTTACAAATTCCAAACCTATCATACTGAGTTTTTGCTTTATATGAACCAGCTTACTTTAATGTGTTGGATAAATTATCTATATTTCAACATATACATTGTCAATGTTTCTCAAATGTTTTAAATTATATCCACATAAGAAATGTTTATATTACAGTCTAGAATACATGAAAATCCCTACACGACTGAAACAAAAATTTCAAAAATCATTTACCTTAACTGTGAAATAGACGCTGATTTTTTTTTTTGAAAGATTTATTTATTTATACAAAATCTGGGGTACAGGCCAGAGGCGCAGGAGGGTAAAAGGATTCACTAGAGACAGAGCGGAGAACAGAACAGGCAGACTGACTGAAAAACACTGCTGAGGGGAGCAGCGGGTGAGACAGGAGAGGTCTGCCATGCCATGTGGGTATCTCCCTAACTGGCCAGGAATCAAACCCATACTGCAGAGGCTGTGGACAGCTTCACAGTGCTGCACTCAACCCTCTGTGCCACCAGGGAGGCCCAGAATCTGATATTTTCTGTTCTATTCTCTTCCACTTAAGAATGCATTCTGGTTGTGACTTATTAACATTATTTATTTACACTTTACTGGTGAATTACCTCCTGAAGTTTGAGAAGCATGGTTAGGTGTAAAGCACAAGAACAAAATACTCCCCACCAGGCTCACCTTATGCTCCGTGATTCCTTCCTTTCAGGACCTATATTGTAATAGATATGCCTTCCTGCCTGTGTAGATGGTAGAAACTTCTCCTAGGTCTTGATCATCTCATCTTTCTCCTCTTAATTTAGTCTTAACTGGTTTCCTCTTGATTTAAATATTCTTCTTTATGCTAAAAACTATGGAAAATGTGAGTGGAGTGAGAAGTCTTGTTCAAAAAATTAAAAACCAATATGCTGCTTTATTATCTATAATAGTTTAGCATGAAGGAAATTAATCTTAGGGATTTTTTAAGCTACTATATACTCTTAACCCCCTACATTTCATTAGCAGTCATCACAATTTCTTAAGATGTTTAGTAATAAGTTTCTTGTTCTCAGTTAGAAATGTTTTCTGTAAAATGTAATTTTAAATATTTGCAAGTATTCATATGTGATTATTTTATATGATATCTGTGGGTCTAAGTTTTTTGATGGAAACAGCTGAAACTATGTAAAGTTTAGAGGGGAATAGTTAACTTTTTTTAAGCCTTACAAGATTGAAATACTTTCTGTTGTGTTAGTAAGCTGATAGATCCAGTTTTATCCCACTTGCCTTTCTTTGCCTTTAACTATTTCCTCTCTTTGCCTCTGCCTTTTACTGAGCATTTGTAAGAGAGATGAACAATTTTTTTTTTTTTTTTTTGGCTTTTGCAGGTCTTTTATTGGGATTTACCCGGTACATGGCAGGCAGGGGTGCTGGGGGGGCCGAGAGGTTGGCAGTCCTCCCAGCCCCCAGCAAGTCTTCACTCTATCTGGGCTCTCCGGCATTCTCTGCTTCTCTCTCGGCTTCTGCTGCTTCTTTCTCGGCTTCTCTTTTTTTTTTTTTTTTTAATAATAAATTTTATTTTTATATTCCCCATACAATTGCAACCCCCCCATTCTGACCCCAATCCCTCCCCTCCCGCCCCTCACCCCCCAAAAAGTGTCTCTGGTTCATAGTTTTTTGTTGATTTTGATTTTCATTTTCTTATAGTTATTCATTTTCCTGGTCCCTTATTTAAGTTTTCTAGATTCCTGCTATGAGTGAGACCATCCGGTATTTTTCTTTTTCTTTCTGGCTTATTTTGCTGAGCATGATCCCTTCCAGCGCCATCCATGTTGCTGCAAATTGCATGTATTTATCTTTTTTGAATGCTGAGTAATATTCCATGGTATATATGTACCACATCTTCTTGATCCAGTCATCTATTTTTGGGCATTTGGGCTGTTTCCAAAGCTTAGCTATTGTAAATAGTGCTGCTATAAACATAGGGGTGCAGGTGTTCTTTGGAATTGATGTTTCTGTGTCCTTTGGGTAAATACCTAGGAGTGGAATTGCTGGATCATATGGAAGCTCTATGTTTAGTAGGTCCAGAAAGAGAGATGAACAATTTTAATGGATTTGTAGGAAATTAAATCTGGTGAAGACTTTCTTCAGCATACCTTCCTTTTTATTCTCTTACAAAGTCATTTTTCTGGTGGTAGTAGGGCTTACATTTCTTAGGAGTAGTAAAGTGAAAGATGTAAGATGGATCTTTATGAATATAGAATCTCTTCTCTATAGTGTGATTATTTTTTAACTCCGTCACCTTATGGGAGTGTATTGCTTTGGTATAAATTGAATTACTCCTCTCCCAATGCTGTGAACTAGCATACTCAGCCTTGTTTGCCACATCAGTCAGGAAAGATTATCAAGATATATGTAGGGCCTCCCTGGTGGCGCAGCAGTTGAGCGCTGGGCTGCGAAGCTGCCCGCAGCCTCTGCAGCGCCGGTTCGATCCCCAGCCACCTGGCGAGGGTCCCACATGGCGCGCAGACCTCTCCTGCCACCCGCTGCTCCCCTCAGCAGTGTACTTCAGTCTGCCTGCTCTGCTCCCCACTCTGGTTCTGGTGAGTTCTCTCACCCTCCTGCGCTTCTGACTGTACCCAGTGCTTTTTTTAAATAAATAAATAAATCTTTTTTTTTTTTAAAAGATAAATATGCATATATATTTTTTAAGATTTATTTATTTATACAAGCACTGGGTACAGTCAGAAGCGCGGGAGGGTGAGAGAATCCACCAGAGCCAGAGCGGGGAGCAGAACAGGCAGAAGGACCGAAGCGCACTGCTGAGGGGAGCAGCGGGCGGCAGGAGAGGTCTGCGCGCCATGCGGGACCCTCGCCCGGCGGCCGGCCGGGAATCAAACCGGCACTGCAGAGGCTGCTGGCAGCTTTGCAACCCAGCGCTCAACCACTGCGCCACTGGGGAGGCCCCTATTTTTTGTTACGTGCCTTATTTTTATAAAGTTATTAATCAGATACTTTTCACTTGATAGACACTTAGCAAGTTGATATTTTTATATTTATATGAAATCTTAACTCTTGCTTTGTTAAAAAATCTTAATGAAATACGTCATTTTACATTTTACTCCTCATTACTAAAGATACTCCCTGAAAATAAACAAACCCCCCAAAATGAAAGAAAAAACTGGTAAATTATGAGCCCCCTACCCCTTAAAAATGGTAATTATGAGCCCCCCACCCCTTAAAAAATGGTGTCTTTTCTACATAAGGTGCTGAAGTACTGACTGCACAGTTTGTACAGACTACCATATTGGATAGGAAAACCCAAGACGCTCCTATTTCTAAAGATGTTCCAGTGGCAACGAATGCTAAATGGGCAAAGAAACAAGAGAAATCTCCAGTCAAAACTGTTCCAAGGGCTAAGCCATCTGTGAAGAAATCTCCACACAAACAGAGGGTAAATATAGTGAAAGACAATCAGAATCCCAGAATCAGAAAGCAGCCAGAACCTGGTAAGAAATACTCTTCCTGTAAATTTCAACACCACCATACAGATCTAATTGAGATTGTAAGATAGTGTATTGAAATAAGAACAGATGAAATCTACCAATAATTCTTGCTATATTCTTTAGTTCAGACATTCACAAGACTAACTTGGTTTTCTACTGTAAATAAATTAGAAAAGTGCAAAGATTCATTCCGTCAGAAAATACACCCTATTGAACTTGAACTGTGTGAAGTTAAAGTATAGTGGCCTTTTTAATGACTGAATGCAGAAGCAAATAGTATCTGGCAATATTGTTGTAGACCATAGTCAGCTATAAAATGCAGAAAGTCGTAAGTTTTTGTCCAAAGAGAATTGTAAACAGATTGCTCAAAACACTAATCCAGAATCTGTTTGGTTTTAAAAGGCATTAGTTTTATTTTAAAAGCAGTTTGGCTTTTTTTGCTTAAGTGAATAATAAAGTTTAGTTATACAAATAAATAACTGACAGTTCCTAGTTCTGTATTTCCACTGCTAGACATAGCCTCTTTACCTGAAAGTTCCGCTCTCACTGTCGACTTCTTCTCCGTGAAATGATCACACACCAGCTCTTCTGTGGTCCTTGCCCCTTCTTAACTTTCCTCTTTCCATGCATAGTTTAGTTCTTCCAGTCTGCAAAATCTGTAAATTTGACTTTATCTGCAGTATTGTGTTGTGTTGTTTTGTTTAAATTAAAGGAAGATTTACTTTTTCCATCGATTTTATTTTTTTATTTTATTTTTTTTAGCTCTTTTCAAATCTCATGTTTAGTGGGAATTCAGAGAAAGAAACTATTGTTTTTGTTGGTTTGATAGAATTATGGATGAACTTACTTTTCTTGGTTAGTTTCTTTAATATTGTTTTATGACTGAATATTTTTTAAAAGCTCTTATGTCATTCTAAACCACATGGTGTAGTTTTGGTGTCCATACCAAATGTAAACTCTTCAGTTGTTGCTCAAGAGAATTCATAATATGATCTTGAGCCCCACACATCCCTATTTCTCTCCTGCTCTTTTCTAGCATGTACTTTCCTTGCTGGACGCTTGGTGTTACACATGCCTCACAGGCATTCTTGCTGGGGTGCGTATGCCCTCTACCCATTCAGATCCTAGTCAAGGTTGGAGTCCTGCCTCCACAGTTAGGCATTTCCTGATGTTCTGATCTTTACTGATCTCTTTTTTCCCCTTTCATTTCCTTTTGGGTCTTTGAGAACATTAAAGAATTCGTAAGATTTTCTAATCATTTGATGTCTTGATCCTGTCAGTTCCAATTAATTTGTAAGCATGCCCATAGATAAACATATAATGCCTTGTATTCTTAGCCATGACATTTGAATTGTTTGTACTGAGTTGGCTCTCAGATTTGTTGCCTGATTCATTAATGGGAGGAGGTGTACAATTGGTTACTGGCAGAAAAGTGAACCCAGAAAATGAATTTTCAAAGTAAATATTCAAAAATAGACTTTTTTATTGCAAATGTCTGTATATATTGTGCAGCCACATTGCAAGCTTAAATTTTAAGATTACCACCTTTTAAATGATCTCTTATTTTTCTTCCATTTCTTCTATTTCTTAATTGCCTATACAAATCTGTTCCATTTCTTACCCTTGAAGAATTATCAGTTTAAGAAAGAGCAGTCATTTCATTACTGAAACTAATCATTTTCTGTCCCTTTTTAAGTTTTCAGTAATAGTTTTTATTTACTGATTCTTTATGTTTTTTAATAGAACCAATTTGACATTGTTTCTATCTTTATATTTTAAAAGAGGTTATATCAGAATTGTGTTTTTAATTGCTTGAGTCTCTAATAAGTAAGCAGTTAAATGAGTTGCTTGAGACTACATGTATTAAAATGAACCTTTTTTCTTTAATACAGTATTCTCTATATTAGACCTTATTCATAAGTGACATTTTTTTGTAAGAAACAAAAATGTGGAGGTCATGATATTAACAAAGATAGAGTAAAATTAGTATCAATAAACACATCAGATCCTAAAATGCATTCATGTTTCATATGCATGGGACTAATAGGATGATTCTCTGCTTTGGGTCACTCTCATCCATTGAGCTCCTGGGTTTATTTTAAACTGGACAATGGTTGAACGATTAATTTTACCCTCCCTCCCATACACACACCCTTCTCAAACTATGATGACTTCGAGTTTCTTTTTCTCCTTAAATATGTGTCATTGGCCTTTGCAGGAAGGTTATTATTTCAGACCCACTACTATTTATTATAAAGAGGAACACCATTGGCTTTTCTATCCATCTATCTACCTGCTACAGGGAATCACTGTCTAGTATTATTGTGAACTTCATCCTTTATAATGACTGCGTTTAAGAAGGCTGAATTCATGTCCTGTGAATGCTAAGTAAACCACTTGAAATGTCAATTTTCTGATTAAGGGCAAGTGATAAATTTGATTACCTGAAGAAAGGAGAATTATCAGTAGACAAAAAGATTTGCTGTTTTGCAAATAGAAATGTTTTCAGTGCAGAAAGTGAGATTTTAAAAGGTAATGAGTTGGTGATTTCTTTTACGACTTCTAATTTTTATTCATATCAAATTTAATTATGGTTAAAAATCTTTTAGGTGATTTCTCTTACATATTTGTTAAGGGGAATAGTTTCTAAGGAAGTGTGCACTTCAAACTTAGAAATTTGTGTATTCTCACTAGATTGTAAGCTCTCCAAGGGCAGGACTCCTGATTTCTTTGTTTAGTTTTTCTTTATGTTTTTCTTTAGGTCAGCAATTTGTCTTACGTGTAATACAGCATTTTTTTTTTTAAGATTTATTTATTTATGCATACAAGCAGGGGTAGAGGCCAGAGATGTGGGGGTGGGGGTAAGAGGATTCACCAGAGACTGAGCAGGGAACAGAATAGGCAGACTGAACGAAGCATACCGCTGAGGGGAGCAGCAAGCAAGGAGAGGTCTGCTTCGCCATGTGGGAATCTCCCTGGCCGGTCGGGGATCAAACTCATGCCACAGAGGAGTCTGCGGATTGCTTTATAGTGCAGTGCTTAACCCCTTGCACCACCAGGGAGGCCCCTAGTACAGCATTTTTGAAGGGTGATTTCTTTTTAAATTAATGTGCACATATATTCATTTTTTTTATTTTATTTTAAGATTTTACAAGAACTGGGGTATAGGCTAGAGGTGCAGAGTCGGGGGAGTGATGAGAGGATTCACCAGAGACACAGTGGGGAAGAGAACAGGCAGACTGGTGGAAATACACTGCTGAGGGGAGCAGTGGGCAAGACAGGAGAGGTCTGTTGCGCCATGTGGGTAGCTCCCTGGCTGGGGATCAAACTTGTGCTGCAGAGGCTGCGGAGAGCTTCACCTTGCTGTGCTTAACCCCTTGCGCCACCAGGGAGGCCCCACATATATTCTTTAAGACTTGCTTCTCTGATAAACATTGTAGTAGATTTGAGAGTTGAAAGAGACCTTGGTTTCAATATAAAACCTATGTAGCATATCAAGAGGTTTTTTTTTTTTTAAGTATTTCACTTATCCATTGATTTTTCACTAAGTCATTATAATATGACAAAGAATACTATGAAATCAAATGCTGTGTTGTTTTTTTTTATACTGAAGCCAAAGGAGAAACTGCTTCACAACTTCAATCAGAAATTTCATCCAGTGATCAAGCAGATGTTACTAGCATAAATACAGCTCAACCGGAAAATACCACAGTAGCGCAAAAAGATCTTCCTGACAGCTCCATTGTCAACTGTGACTCCCAGGCCCTGAATATGTTAGCTGACCTGGCATTAAGCTCTGCTCCTTCTACCACTTCATCATCTGAGCCCAAAAACTCGTCTGAATTACCACAAAATGATGCTTTGCTTTCTAAGGAACATTCTTTACGAGGTACATCTGACCATGAATATCATAGAGGAGTTAAAAGTCAAAAAGGTGGACTGTTACCTAAACCCTCTTCTGATAAGAGTGATTTGATGTCAGACTCCACCGTGAGCCAAGAGGAAGAGAGTGTGGTTTCTCACAGTCCAGCTCCAATTGAAACCCAGCCTACACTTTCTGAGGAAACACTAGAAACTTCTGTTACAAGCCTAAGCTCTTTTGTTGCTCTGGAACATTCCTATGCTCTGCTCCTTGCAGAACATTCAAAGAAGCAACTACAGCAGAAAGGGGTACCAGGCTCTACCTTTGCCAAGAACACCACAAAAGGCCCTGAAGCAGGAACCCCAGTGGGAAAAGTAATGCCATTTCGGCATCAGCAGAGCACCTCCCCTCTGCAAAAGCTTTCTGAGGGCCCATTGCTAAAACGCAAGAGTAGATTGCTGTCTTCCAACCTAAAAGATTTTTATTGCTCACATACTGTGTTTAGCTGTGATGGATCCTTTAAGGTCACTTTCAGATGTGAAACAGAATATGTATTCAGCTTAGATAGCAAGTATACCAACAACCCACTGGAGAAAACTGTAATAAGAGCATTACATGGGTAAGTATGAGTGACACTTGATGGAAGTGAGTGAAACTTCTGTTGAGGTAGAGGTGGTGACGAGATACACTTGTACCAAATTTTGGGCATGGAGAAAAAAGTGTTGGATATCAATAATGTAATAATGTCAAGGTGTTGTGTATACTGGAAAGAATATCAGGCTAGCTTTGCCTCTGTTGGTGATCAAATGGAGAACTTCTGCAAGATAATATTTATATGTGTAAGCAACTTTCCATTTTTGAGGGGCTCCTTTATAAGCCTGTGTAGTCTTTGAGTTATAATATTTAAATGAGAGCTTACTGTTATAGAATAGGGAGGTATGGAAATGGTGCTTTAAAGACAGAATTCCCAAAGAAACATTTAGAGAAATACATATAGCTAGTTAAGTTTGCAGCTTGCTGAGTGCGTGCTTTTACATAGGGTTGTTTTATAAATCTTCCTTAAGAATGGGCCAAGGTAGCAATAGCGGAGCAGTCGAATACATGGCTTTGGAGTATGGATTATACCATATTTGAATCCATCTTCTCTCAATAGCTTCTGTGGCCTGAAAGTTCTGTAGGGGTCTCACTGAAATGCAAATTCTGACTCCGTTTGGGGTGGGGCCTGAGAGTTTACATTTCTAACACAGTTGCAGGAGATGTCAATGAAAGATGACAGTCTATAGCCAACACTTTGAAGTCTGGGTTTAGTAATAGTTAGATTATGAAGTTGCAAGGTAAATTAGGATTTTGCATGGCAAGTGGCTCATGCTAATAAACAGTAACCTACTAGCAAAGAATTGGTGGCCGTATGAAATAACATTCAGCTGTTATTGTCTATATATGTCATTAAACTATCAGACTTCTTTGATCCACTTATAAGCTTATGCTCATAAAAGCATGCATTAAATTCCCTTTTTCTCATGAGAATAATTTCCCTAGCATGAGTCCTAACTCTGTAGCCTCTCTGACTCATCCCACTGTACCTCTCTGCTATCCTTTTGCCTGGCAGATGGCCAGAAATGGCATCTCCTTTTTTGATTTCAGATTTTCCAGAACTGTAATCGTAAATAGTATAGTTCTACTAAATTGCCATACAGATATTTTAATGTTCAGACTTTCCCAAATGTTAGAAGAGCGACACAAAACTAGAAATTAGTTAGCCAACTTAGCAAAAGCAAGGAGATGACGATTTTGGTCATTGCTGAAGCCATTAATCCCACAATAAGTGTATTGTGTTCAGAGAGAGTTTGTATGGTAGAAAAGAAAAATGGTAGCGCAGGAGTTGGGAACCTTATGTTGTGGTTGTGATTCTGCCATTTAGGGCTCTAATTTTCAGTTCCCTTCTCTTGTCTTTGTAATGAAGGAATTAGATTCATTGTAGATTCTCTTATTAAATCAGCTTCATCTTATTGTTTCATGTTTGTATAATTTTTAAAATAACACAAAAGCAAAGATTAATAATGAAGGCACTTATGATAAGATAGTCAACTAAAATAACTGTTTCTAAATGATTTTTGGGTGTTATTTCTTTAAAATCTCAGGCCCTGGAACACTGATTTACCTGATAATGTGGAAGAAGTGAAGCTTTTACTTCATATGTGGGTAGCTCTGTTTTACAGCAATCAGAACAAAGTCATAAGGTCATCCCGACGAGTAGTAGAACACAGCAACCCAGCAAAATATGTGTCTATCAATAGCACATTAGAATCTTTTGAATTCAGTGAAATTGAGGAGTCTACCAGTGTGCAAAGGTGTTCTGCAGACCCTCTATTGGAGACTAATGTGACACCTGGAGCTTGTACGACTACTGTGTCCTTCCCTGAAGCTAACACTGTGCTTCCTCTCATTAAACTACCATCAGCAAAAGGCTTGGGACTCTGGGTACAGAATGACCAGGAAGAAATGTTTGTAAGAGCAGACCATCCAGACACCCAAGAAAGCCAGAATTTCACCTATTCTTGTAATAATGAGGTAAGTGAAGCTGAATACTACAAATGCTGACAGTTTTTGAAGAAATGCTCATATTTAGTATGTAAAATCACATTCAGAATTTTAGACATTGGTTTCTCTTGGGAAAGTGAACTCTCTGGCTATATAAAAGTATAAATTATAATGCCAGAAACTTAATTTTCATAGATGTCACTCCATATTGTCTATAGATATAACATATTGACCATCCTGATTGAAGAAACAGAAGTAGAACAAAACCACGGTGGTCAGATGATCTGGGAACTAACCATAATGGTCTCACTTCTTGTATAATTTGGGGTAAATTGCTCATTCTCTGATTTTCTTCTAGAATTTTTTTTTTTTTTTTAAGATTTATTTATTTTGTACAAGAACTGGGGTACTGGTCAGAAGTGCGGGAGGGTGAGAGAAGTCACCAGAGCCAGAGTGGGGAGCAGAGCAGGCAGACGAACCGAAGACACTGCTGAGGGGAACGGCGGGCGAGGCAGAAGAGGTCTGCACCATGTGGGGTTCTTCCTGGTCGGCGGGGAATCGAACCAGCACTGCAAAGGCTGCAGACAGCTTCGCAGCATGGTGCTCAACTGCTGCACCATTGCAGCAAACCTCTTTTAGAATATTGTTTAAGGATCCAGCATGGTAATAATAAACATTAGAAAGTTTCGTTTAGTCTTAAACTACAATTGAATATATTAGAATTATTTTTGAAAAAAATAATAGTAATCAAAAAAGTAATCAAATGCCACACCTCTGAGAGTAGAGCCATTGTAGATAACTATTGGTAAATCTACAAAACATACTTTGTTTCATTCCATTGTTCTCAATTGATGTTCAGCCAGACCAGATTTTCAAATTTTAACTGGAGCAATTAAAAATGTTGTATCAAAATTTAAAGTAAAGGCTTGACAAAATACCTGCCTTTGTAAAGGTTTGGCGGGCTTCCCTGGTGGCTCAGCCGGTTGAGTGCAGCGTTGTGAAGCTGTCTGCAGCCTCTGCAGTGCGATTCCTGGCCAGCCAGGGAGGTACCCACATAGCGCGGCAGACCTCTCCTGTCTCACCCACTGCTCCCCTCAGCAGTGTATTTCAGTCAGTCTGCCTGTTCTGCTCCCCGCTCTGTCTCTGGTGAGTCCTCTCACCCTCCCACACATCTCTCCTGTACTCCAGTTCTTATATAAATAAATAAATCTAAAAAGAAAAAAATAATAATATTAAAAAAAAATAAAGGTATGGCTCAGATTTCTGCTACTTAATCTAAATCATTGGTAGTCTTTAAATCAGTAGCTTTGGTGTAATTTATTAACGCAAACTACATGGTGTTTTCTGTCAAATGGGGTATCATGAGAAAGATTGTTATCTCCAATTACAAGCAAAGACGATAGCTAAGGGATAAGGGACCTTTATTTCCCAGACTAGAAATTGATATAATGGGCGAATTGCTAATCAGTGTTTTCTGAGTACAGAAGATAATAATTAATTTACTACTTCCTTGTGGAAAAGTTCCACATGACAGTGTGATGCAGTCTAACTGAAAACTGGTGTTTAAGTGATTCTTTGCTTTAAAAATTATCTTTTAATTTTACTGAAAACATAATTAAGATTGAATAATTCTCTAATGTTACATTTGTGAATTAAATGATGCTACTTAGCATGCAGGCTGCATTTTCAAGTCTTTAAATTGTCAGCAGACTAACCACTTTAATTCCCCAAAATCAATTTTAAATAATAAACAGGCTGGGCAATGAAGAAAGTTTTGGAATTCTTATCTGTGTATAACAAACTCCTATTTGGAGATTATTTTAAACTTATTTAAAAGGGATTTGTTTTATCTCTACCCTGTGATATTCTTACATATTAGAAGATTCAAAAGAACAAACTAAAATTGATCTGTTCTTCACTTGTATATAAATGCTGAGAACTAACCAAATTGACTCTTGATTTTTTTTTTAAAAGATTTATTTTACTTATTTATGCATACAAGAACTGGGGTGTGGTCCAGAGGTGCAGGGAGGGAACAGGGTGAGAGCATTCACCAGAGAGAGTGGGGAGCAGAACTGGCAGATCTACTGAAATAAACTGCTGAGGGGAGCAGCAGGCTAGACAGAAGAGGTCTGCTGCGCCATGTGGGTTAGCTTCTCAGCTGGGAATCGAACTCATGCTGCAGTGGCTGGCGATAGCTGAGACTTTAACCCCTAGCACCACCAGGGAGGCTTCCAAGACTCTTGATTTTTTTTTTTTTTCCTTTTGTCATTTCAGGTAATTGGGGGAAAAGCCAAACAAGAATCATATAAATTAGAGACTTCCAGTCTTGTGCTTACTAGTATTGGAAGTACTGAAGCTTCTATTCCTTCTATTTCCGGTGAAGGTAAAACCTTTCAACCACTTGATAACACCACAGTGATTTCTGACAATGATGATGTCACACAAACCACAGTCACCAAGACTTGTGATGGGGTCAGCAATCAGTCAGCGGATTGTCAAAAGTCTGTGTACAGCACCCTTAAAAGCAAAGTTGATATTTTTCATGCAGCAGCGCATGAAAACTATGGTACTTTACAGGAGCTTATCCAGCCTAGCAGCCCCATGAACAAAGATTGTCAGCCTTCACTGGAAAGGAAGGATGATGATACGGAGTATGTAACGATTAATCTGGAACCAGTTACTTTCTCTTTTGAAAAAAATTCCTATGTACCAGTACAGGCAGAAACTATAAAAAGAGCTGAGAAATCTACAGCCTTTAATATGGAGCTTATTAAACAGGTGTCACCTACTGTAAGTCTTCGACATCCTACATCCACATTTGAAAATCCACAACAAATAAAAGGTCTGAGGGACATTTCATCTCAAGAAGTGCCAGGACAACAAGGCACTAAATATCTTTGTGCCTCTTCTGTAAGTGAAGAGATACTTGCTAAAGAAACATGTTCATTACAGCCTATTCTAGGCTCATCATCATCATCTAATAATCCAGTGGTAATGGAGGCATTATCATTAGTTAAAAGTTCTAATTACTTGTTACCCAGAGAAGACACAAAACTCTCTCAAGTTTTTCTGCAGACCCAGAGTGTCTTTGGCATATCTTCAGAAGAGGTTATAGCACCATCACAGGTTCAAGAAGTGGTCTCATCATCAGCCTCTGCCATCTTGGGAAAAAATTACTCACTTAACTGCATTCCATCAGGCAGTAACATGTCAGAAAGCTCTTCAGAATTAAAGAATGGCAAGAGTGATCTAAAAAATGAAAATTTGAATTTTGAATCATTTAACTCAGCATTTACCAAACAAACCAGTCAGTCAGCGAATAGAGAGGAGGCCAGCCTAGAATTATCAGAGGAAGATTCTGACATTGATCTAAGTCTCACCATATCACCACCAACCAGCCCCAGAGAAGCAATGCCAGCTGGGAAAATACAGCAAGATCAAGAGGCTCCATTAACAAATGTAGAATTTCAGGATATGACTAAGGAAACCACTGAGCCAGAACAGGCAACATGTAGAGAAAACAGAGAGGTGAATTCTTCTAGTTATACATCAGTAAATCCTGCAGTGTCAGAGAAACCATCAGAAAATGGGAGAAAAGGTGATAATTCACAACCAGTTACTTTAATACTTCCTAAAGAAAGTTGTACTCTTGAGATCATGGAGGAAGTTCACATTCCCTCAGACTTTACCTTTGCTTCTTTAATTGAAGAGGTGTCTCCAGCTTCTAGTCCTGACCCCCAAGTACTAGCTGAAGAAATACAACCATCTCAGGCTATGTCTCTCTGTAGTTTAAAACTTCCTGATACTCATTGTGAGAAAAATGACAAATTCTTCCAATTTGAATCAGTAGATTTGGCCATAAATGAGAAAGAAAATCCTTTTGTTAGTTCTATCCATCCAGTGGCACAAGAAAATGTAACTCAGGTACAACAGATGCTGCTTTCTGATGAAATGCCTCTACTATCCAATAATCATTCAGGAGGAAAAGATAGACATTTAACCCTTCCCAGTAAAGAAACTGAGAAAATTATTCCAAGTGAGTGTGATGAGAGTTTCTCTTTCTCAGCAAAGACGCTCTGCTGTGACATAGAGTCAAATCAGGTTGCCTCGGCTACCAATTACAGGGATGACTTTAAGCCTTCTCTTGAAAAATGGGTAAGGTCAAGAAGTCCATTGCAGCCAAATAGTGTAGACAATAGAAATTCAAGCTTAAAGCATCTTGCCCTAGAAACCAGTGAGTTTCCATCTAGTCCTAGAAAGATTCTTGAAGATAGGACTTTGGCTGACACATTTGTTACTGTAACTGCTGCAGGTGGTGTAGTGAAACAACAAACTAGCCCTAAAAGCATTAAGAAAAATCTCTTGAGCCATGATTTCAAAACAAATGAAAGCAATTACATGCAGCTTATGTCCTTAAACTCCAATTCAGTTGATGGGATTGATCTTTCACAGGCACACATGGGCTTAGAGAGCTCCAAACTGGCTTTCTCCTCAGATGGTACTTCGTTAACTCATTGTACCAGACCCATAAGTGGAGAAACAGGGTTTCAAACACAGGAAATATCAGTAGTCACAATGGCCACTTTGCTTAAAAATAGTGAAACTGAAGCTGAGTTACATGAAAAATCCGTAGAGGTAGGTGTCGACTCGCAATCAAACACCGTATCTCCAAAAGGTGAACAGAAAATCCATGTGCTGCAAGATATGTCAACATATGAAACAAAAGATCTGCTGAGTGATGGTCTTTTCCCCGTGGATGCTGGCTCTTACCAGAACACAGCAATCCCTTGTGAAAATATCAATGACGAGCCTTCTGCTTCCTTTGTTTCCAAATCTGGTGACACTCTTGTTTTCGGGATTTCGAAAAAGCAGACAGAAAATACGGTGGCAGATGAGGGGCACAGGGCCAAGGAGGACCCTACAGCCCTGGGTGGAGACCTGGATAGCAGTGTAAATTCTGACATCCATTATGAACCACTTTCAGGGAACTCTGATGAAGATTCTTTCTGTGATTGTAGAAATCCCAAATTTGACATGGAGGATTCTTGTACTTTGCGATGTCACACCAAGAAAAAAGATGCTTATAACGCTTTCCTGTGTTTAAACAATGGTGGTAATGAAGATTGGGGTTACTCTAACCAAGTTCCAGTGTTAGAGGCCAGCTTTGCTCCCAGAAGCTGGTGCATTGGATTAAAGAAAGAGGACAAGTGTGCACCACATTACATTCAGATCCGAGACTCCCATGGCATCCCCAGGACTTACGCTAACTTCACCATAACTAAGGAGTTCCAGGACACCGCTCGGACACTACACAGCCTGAGGAGGCACCCTCGTCTCACTGCAAAGTGTGGCTTGCTCAGCTCCTGGACAAACACTTGGCAGGCAGCAGATGACCTGACCCAGGACACTTTAGACATGGAATATCTGCGTTTTGCGCATAAACTAAAACAAATTCTAAAGAATAGTGATTCTCGGCACTTTTCCTCTTCTACCAACATCTTTCCAAAGGAGTCACCTCTCCAAATCACTGCTGGAACGTTCCCTTTGACAAAAATACCCGAGTCTCCTCTTCTGCTTCCTGTGTCCCGGAGCAGAAGTCCCCTAATAGTGACAATCATGCCCTCGGGCACCAGGCAACAGAGTCCACATGTGAGAGGCCATATGCACAGCAGTTTGGACAGTTCTTCCTTTTGGAAGGAGAGAGGTGGTCACAATAGGAATCACCTTACAAAGTCTGAAAGAAATCAGAGTGCTTCATTACATCTCAACAAACTGAAATACAACAGTACTTTGAAAGAATCCCGGAATGATATTTCACTTATTCTCAATGAATATGCTGAATTCGATAAGGTGATGATGAACAGCAACCAAGTCATTTTTCAAGATAAAGAGACAAATGTTTCTGGAGGAGCCACATCGCAGGAGATGTGTACATCTTTCCCACATTCAGCTTCCTATGAAGACATGATTACTGACTTGTGTACCAGTTTACATGTCAAACTAAAAAGTGTTATGAAAGAGGCTTGTAAAAGTACCTTCCTATTCTACCTCGTTGAGACAGAGGACAAATCATTCTTTGTAAGAACAAAGGTAAAGTGCCAGAATATTCTTATAGTTTATATTATTTTTGCCATCTGATTGTAGTTTATTTTAGAATATATGTAGCATTCTTGGTTCCAGAAAGAAATTCTGATATGATGGTATCTGAGTTTCACAAGTGAATTTTTATTTGTATACTAAATGTTATGTTACAGGGATCTAACAGTGGTAGTGCATTTGAAGATTTGAATGATGTTCCAGAATTGGTGCGACTAATTTTCACAAAAAATTGCCAGTGTAGACATACTGATAATTCAAGTGTAAGCACAAACATACTCCAAAGCTGAAATAGTTTTTTGTTTTTTTTAAATATTTAAGTGTCCCTCCATCAGTGTGGCTAGCTGAGATGGGACTCTTGACTTCTTAAAAATTTAAAATTAGTGATCTCACTAATAAAGTGGTGTATCTGATAAAATTTTAATTTAGTAGCCAGGTTTGTCTCAATTCACCTTTGGCTTCATTTAAACCTCTCAAAATTTCTCTTCTATTTTGGAGAAAGACAGCATTCTCCCTTTTGACTTTAAAAAAGATAATTTCAAATTTACGTAAAGATTGCAGAAATGGTACTGTTCACCTAGACTACCCTAGAACTGTTAAATTCTGAATTGTTTGAAAAATATGTTGCAGATGCTGTGCATTACCCCTTAATATGTAAGTATGTGTTACTTGAGTACGAGGACACTGCTGTATGATCACAGCACTGCCTAAAAGTCAAGAAACCAGCATTAACACAGCCCCTGCCCAGCCCACAGGCCACTATCCATGCAGCATCACGTGTTGTGTTTGCTTATCTCTTTCCGTATCCATCACTCTGGAATAGCTCCTGTCATTTCTTTGTGACCTTGATAATTTTGAAGACTCTAGACTAGTTATTAGGTAGGATTTCCTTCAGTTTAGTTTCATCTGTTAATTCCCTCATGATTTAGGTATTTTAGGTGAGAACACCCAGATGTGACGCTGTATTTTTCTCAGTGAATCTGGTCAGGAGTCACATTTTGATTAGTCCCATTCTTAGTGTATTAACTTTTTCACTTGGTTAAGATGGTGTCTGTCAGGGTTCTCCACTGTAAAGTTAATTACTAGGCATACTGTAGTTAGTAAGCAGGGGCATACTTGAGACTCTGTAAATATCCTGTCCCTCATCCGACTTTGACCCACCAGATTTCACATGCACTGATTCTTTCCTGAATCAGTTAAAATATGATGGTTCCCAAGTGGTAATATTCCAATTCTATTATTTCTTGAACATTTATTAGTTGTAATTCTGCTGCAGGGTAGAACTTTCCATTTTTCCCCATTTATTTATTCATTTGCTTGGTATATCATTGTGGGTCCATGTTCCACATTTTATTCAGTTACTATCTGGTCCTTTTTTAATTGCCTCAGACCCAGCTTGCAGGAGTCCCTTATTATGAAGCTGTCTTCTGTATTCTTGATGTTACAGGCTGTCCCAGCCTTGAAGTCAGTCATTTCTCCAAGAAGATGTGATTCTTTTTAGGGGAGAATAATAATTGGAATCATGATCTTTGTGCTAGGTCTCTCATCTGGATGTTCTCAGCACAGAAACAGTAAATTGTGGGGGGGGGGGGCGGGCGGGGCAGGGGGAGTGAGGATTTGCACACACCATCTAAGATGTTTAAAAAGCAAAAATCAGTGTACACTCCTCCAGTTTCAGTATGCCACCACCAGGTTGTCCCAGCCTTATTTGCCATATTTGCAACTCCCTACTGCAACTTTCAGAAAGCCAGCTTCCATCACCCTCAGCAAATAGATTTGTTTCAGAGTTCAACACTTGCTATACTTAGTGTATTAAGTCCAGAATGCCACATGATAAACTTCCCATGATAAATCTGTAAGCGTTTAATTACTAAGTAACATTAAAATCTGAAAATGTTTGTGGCATCTGGTGAGGATAGTATTTTTGAATCTTGCCTCCAAAATTAACCTGGAAGTTAACTTTTTTCATTTTCAATCAAAGTTGATTTTGTTTGGTTAGTTACATATACTACACCCTGACACATGCTAAAATAGGTCAGGGATTGGCTGAGCATCATAACCATGTCCCTGTTCTACCACACTGAACAACAAAAATACTTAATTTCATTTTGCTTCCATCTTCTCCAAAACAACAGTTCAGCGTCTTAGTTCTCACACCCTTACAAGCACAACGGATGCTGATTTTTCTGTAGGAGAGATTATGGCAATATTAAGTCTGAATTGTTTCAATGGTGGGTATATTATTCATGATATCAGGTGGCCACTATTTACAGCAGAAAGTAGTAAATTTTACTCAGAGGTAAAACTAACATGTCTTAGAGAGTCCTGAAGCATTCACAGGGGCTTGACATCACTGTTTATTTGTATGATGCAGAAAATTTGTGAGTTCCTTGATTGTTGAAATTTGCAGTGCGTGACAAAATAACCCAGAGCTGCTCTGAATTTCATAAAATGTCAAACGTAATCACAAAATGTGTTCATTGAGATAGCTTATTAGTAAAAGAAGTGAGGGTTAAAGATTTGTATTTAGATAATAGTGGACTCTGTGTTAACAGAATCTTACTCTCTAGGTACTTCTTTGAGAAATACATTGCCTTGCATTTTGTGATGAACTGAAATAGTCAAAATTTGAGTCATTGTGAGAGCTAAGGGAGACCAATCAGGCTTTATTGTTATAAAGAAAATAACAAAGTGATGGTCAGACCTAAGTGTTTTTGGCATAACTAGGAACATGGAGGTATGCAATGTAAACATCCTAGTCCTTCAGATAGAAATATGTAACTACAGAGAACAGATCTAGGAACTGAGCCTCCCATCCAGGCTTCCCAGAGCTATTCTCTGTGTGGGAGTGAACCTTGACGTTCACAATTCCTGTCACATTCTAAGAAGCTGTGCCTGAATAACTTTAGGTATTCAAATTACCTAATAGCCAAGGGGCAATTGCCTTTTCAAAATCAGTGGCTACTAGTGATACCAAAGCAATCCATAGATGAGTACTATTTGAAAGGTTTTAGAAACATTTAGAATTGGCATTTGTAGAGTAAATACCTTTGCATTCCACGGTAATTCCCAGGCAGAGGTTTAAGAGTCATGTATATTAGTCTCATGTTTAAATAAAAATCAGCCTTTTATACTTCTGGGCATGTTTATTATCAATACAGTTCTGATACCAAAGAGTCGTCATTTTATATATGAAAGCTGGCTTAGTAATAAAACAGAATGTCATTTTATGTTGTCTTGGGATATAATTCAGCAAGTAAGATGTACTTGATGTTTTTAGTAGACTATAAAAATGGTTCTATGCAATTATTATTTTAGTAATGACTGTTTGTAAATCTTTCAGAATATTCTGAGGAAAGGAGGTCATACGGAAATTGAGCCTCAGCATTTCTGTCAAGCTTTTCAGAGAGAGAATGATACGCTAATAGTCATCATCAGAAATGAAGATATAGCATCACATTTGCATCAAGTAGGTTTGGAAATATCTTTAAAGACAAGTGTTCACAGGAATTTTATTCTGTAATTATGAGATTCAACACAATTTAGGGAAGAATTTGAAATGCATCACCAGTGTATTGGGAAGACAGTGGGTGCTGTAGGATATTTTTTTTTTTTAAATGATAACTTTTTTTTTTAAGATTTTTTTTTTTTTTAATAGAGGCATGTTTTATTTATTTATTTATTTGTTTGTTTGTTTGTTTGTTTTGTTTATATATGCACTGGGTACAGTCAGAAGCGCGGGAGGGTGAGAGAACCCACCAGAGCCAGAGCGGGGAGCAGAGCAGGCAGAAGGACCGAAGTACACTGCTGAGGGGAGCAGCGGGCGGCAGGAGAGGTCTGCGCGCCATGTGGGACCCTCCTCAGGTGGCTGGGGAGCAGCCGGGGATTGAACCGGCGCCGCAGAGGCCGCGGGCAGCCTCGCAACCCAGCGCTCAACCGCTGCGCCACCGGGGAGGCCCTCTTTTATTTTTTTTTTTAAGATTTATTTATTTATTTATACAAGCACTGGGTACAGCCAGAAGCGCGGGAGGGTGAGAGAACCCACCAGAGCCAGAGTGGGGAGCAGAGCAGGCAGAAGGACCGAAGTACACTGCTGAGGGGAGCATGGGGCAGCAGGAGAGGTCTGCGCGCCATGTGGGACCCTCCTCCGGTGGCCGGGGAGCAGCTGGGGATCGAACTGGTACTGCAGAGACTGCGGTCAGCCTTGCAACCCAGCGCTCAACCGCTGCGCCACCGGGGAGGCCCCTGTAGGATATTTTTATTGTATTACTGAAGCTATTTCGAGGGCAAATTATATTATCAGAGTTGTGGTAAATTTCCTCACCTGAGATATAAATCTGCATCTCTTGATAGCTAACATTAATAAATCTTGCTTTAAAAGGAAAAGTAGAACTTTTCTTAACTGTTACTTATTAGTGGAAAATTATGTCCCCGGAGGTTCCAATTTACCAGCATACAGTCAGTCCTGTCAGAAGGTAGTAGTTAAACCCTACAGCACCAATAGTCCATGAAGCTTCTCAACAGCCTCATTACTTTACAGGTCTCCAAAATGTCGGCTTCATTTTTCTCCTCATTCATTATCTCCAACCTTTGGGAACTGCATACTACTTTTAATCGACTCATTTTAAACTTTGGAGCGTTGATGAACTGAGTTAATATTTCTTTTATGTGGCAGAATTAAAAGCGAGGTTAAAGACATTTTCACCTGCTTCTGAATCTTGAAACCCTCGAACAGAAAGTAACACTCCTTATATGTTTAACAGATTCCTTCTTTGCTGAAGCTGAAGCATTTTCCCAATGTTGTCTTCGTGGGAGTAGACAGTCCTGAAGATGTTCTCGATTATACCTACCAAGAGCTATTTCAAACAGGCGGCTTTGTGGTATCAGATGACAAAGTATTAGAAACTTTAACACTAGGTTAGTCTTTTATTTTCCTTTTTTGAAATCTAGTTAGATAAGTTTCTCATACAGTCACCCAAAAACTACATCATCAAAAAGAAGTTATCAACTCAGAATAATGTCAGTCACCAACTATCGAGTGCATAATTTTTGCCATTTACTATGCTGAGCACTTCTCAGATAGTTGGATGTAATCCTCATTCCCAGTGTGTTAGCCTCTTTTAAATGATTGTCTTCATCAATAAACCTGTGTCTAAGTTTCTTCCTCAGTCCTGCAGCTAAATGCCTACTCATAAAACTTGAGATTTTCTTAATTTGATTCATCTACCTGCCAAAGCAAGTCAGCTATATTTCAGTTTTGTCGAAAATCAGCCCTCTTTTCCATTTCTCTTCTCATCGCCTCAACAATCTGTTCATATCATGGAACTCTGAAGACTGTATACCAAAACTCTTCCTGATTATCTGCTGGGACATGCATGTATAATTTCTCAGGGCACTAAACTGACATAGGAAAATGTTACCCCACTGACCCACCTCCTTTGTTCCATCCACATGATATATAGAGAGCTTTAACTGCTATTTCTATACTGATCTCTCCTACTTATGTAGGAATAGGTAAGACTGAATTGAGGGGCCACGATTTGCTGAGTCTTTGAAATGCAATCTGGCACTCCTGCCCAGCTACCTAAGTGGCAGCGATGGTATGCACTCAAACACGGGGTCTTATTTTTTACAGGTAATAAAAAAATTACTTTGACTAGACAAGCCACAATCCCTAAAACACATCTTCTCTCTTACCAAACTTATTCTGTAGTTCAACTGAAAGAAATTGTTAAAATCCTGGAGAAGCTAAATGGAAATGGAAGATGGAAGTGGCTGCTTCACTATAGGGAAAATAAAAAGCTGAAAGAAGATGTAAGGTAAGAAGACTTATGTGAAGTGTGGCCTTTGTACGGTGTGGGGGTCTCCCCTTCCCCTTATGGGCCAAGGGTGAAAATACCGTGTGCTTCACCATGAATGTTCACTGTGCCCTGGAATAGTGTTACTCAAGTGCTGCAACATGGTTGGTTTGTGCTGGAATCACCTACATCTCTAAACACAGTAGGTTGGTTCACTTTTTTTGATTTTGGTTTTGCATGACAGTGAAGAAAGTGATAGAACTATCATCAGCAGTCTGAGGCACTTGCTAGACGAATAGATTTCAAAAAATTAGACTTTAGTTGAGGCTCTGCAGCTACCATGAACTATAAAAAATAAATGTGGGGCCTCCCCCGGTGGCGCAGCGGTTGAGCGCTGGGCTGCAAAGCTGCCCGCAGCCTCTGCAGCACCGGTTCTATCCCTGGCCGCCAGCAAGGGTCCCACATGACGTGACAGACACCTCCTGCCTTGCCCGCTGCTCCCCTCAGCAGTTTATTTCATCACTCTGCCTGTTCTGTTCCCCACTCTGGCTCTGGTGAATTCTCTCACACTCCCACGCTTGACTGTACCCAGTGCTTGTATAAATAAATAAATCTTTTTTTAAAAAAAAATGTGGGCTTACCACATTGTCTTTAAGATTTTCAGTCATGTTAAGTTGCTACAGTTCTAAGAAGGATGGAAAACTTGAGACCGGAATGTATCCTGAACTTAAATTTACCTGTAAACAACAGAGTACAGATGTTTACGTATTTTTACTTGTTGGCTAAAGAGACCCAGGGACACCTCTTCTGAATAAAGATACCTCCAGGTTCTAGTAAGACTGGAAAGGAAGAGTAGATATGGGAATTAGCACTCAGACAGCCTGGACTTGACAGCTATTTATTAGATGACTGTTTTCAGCCAATGGAGAGAGTTTTGCTTCCATAGTCTCGCTATTTGTATAGGACATAGGTCAGTAAAATCACTTTAATAAAAGTGAAGCATATAGAGGATGATAAACCTGACCCTGCTCAAACAAGGAGGAAGTTGTGAAGCTGGCTTCACCCCTGGAATGTTTTCTGTAAAAGTGACAGTTACTTCTATCCTATCACAATATGGAATGTTTTCTGTAAAAGTGACAGTTACTTCTATCACAATACTTTCTTTAAAGAAAAAAAATACACATAAGCATGAAAACAGCTGAAATTGTAAAACTGTTCAAGATCTTGATGGTTGGCTAAGAGATATTTCAGGAAAAGTTTTTATCTAGGAGAAAAGGCGGTAAAGGTAGAACCAACAGATTATATGGGCACAGAAGGTGAGGGGAAAGAGTCAAAGGTCATGATGAATAGTTCACAAAGAAAAAGTTCAACTTCAGCAAATTAAAGTTCTAAGATGCTACATGACTCCTACAAAATTAAGAAATTACTTTATAATTTATAGAACTTGGGTAAATATTCAGCCTGACACATAGTAGGAATATTGAGAATGCATATTCAACCTCATCCCCCCATTGGGGGAACTTAATAAAACTAAAACCAAAAAAATCCTAACTTTCAAAAACCATGCTCAGCAAAGATGTTTAAAGCCTTGGGTGGCCATCAGAAGCTATGAAACCAGCCTCAAACCCATTTCTAGGCAGATATAAGAACAGACATATGGATGCAGTATGTACATACATATTTTTTAATGTATACAAAAACATACAACTCAATACAGTAAGTAGAAACATGAAAGTTTCTATTTGAATATAACATAAAAGTTATCATAAAACTATATATAGGTTGCTCCCAAATCATTATAGACTCACATTATACAAAGGATAAAGCCTGGAAGTTCATCTTGATGTTACTAGTGCTTGTCACTAGAATTACAGGAATACATGATTTTGGTTTTCTCCATTAAGCAAGCGAGAATGTGAGTGATGGAAAAGACTGGAGAAATGGATTCAAGAGCAAAGGTAAAGATACTTAAAAGTTAGTGGAAGGAAAAATAGAGATTTTAAGGGAGGTGAGAAAATAAGGAAATTCTAGCTGCTATTGAATTTAAGTTGGTGATCATTGACTAAGTATAAGTATAGAAGTTTTAAAGAAACTTAAAAGATTTGGAGCCATTGCTATATAGATGAAAGGCTTGCCCAGTGACATTGTTGGAAGGAGCAGAAGTGTGTAGATATCCCTCTTATCTCAAAATGAAGCCCATGTATTTTGTTTTAATCTGTATTAACAAAAGTAGTAAGTACACCTGTAATGTGTTAAGGGAATGTGACAAGACAGTGATGTCTTGGAAGCAAAGAAGGATCTCATAGAAGTTATAACACAAGAAATTATAGTTAAGTAGGGCCTCCCTGGTGGCACAAGGGGTTAAGTCTCAGCATTATGAAGCTATCCATAGCCATTACAGCAGAGTTTGATCCCAGCCAGGGAGGTGACCCACATGGAGCAGCAGACCTCTCCTGTCTTGCCCACTGTTCCCCTCAGCAGTGTATTTCAGTACATCTGCCTGTTTTGCTCCCACTTTGTCTCCGGTGAATCCTCTCACCCCCAACATCTCTGGCCTGCACCCCACCTCTTGTATGCATAAATAAATAAATCTTAAAAAACAAAAATTAAAAAGAAATTACAATAACTTTACTGAAGGGAAGAAAATGAAACAACTAAACATAAGATGTAAGAAAATTAACTTTATTAACATATACTAAAGGTAGTTACTATTTCTATGTATTTTTCCAGAGTGGATCCAACTGCACATAAAAAGAATTTAATACTGAAATCCTACCAGAGTGCAAATATCATTGAGTTGCTTCATTATCACCAGTGTGACTCTCGATCATCAACAAAAGCAGAACATTTGAAATGCCTGCTACATCTGCAAATTCAACATATCCATGCCAGGTTTGCTGTCTTCCTAACAGGTAAATATACAGCCTGAATTCTACTTAAGTTTTATTACTTAACACCAAAATAGTTCTACTCTAGAAATGTCCTTCCATATGGAGTCATTGGATGCCATCGGATAGGTGGATGTGTCCCACTGGCAGGCAGTGGGACACATTGTTTAGCCTAGTATGTTTTTAAATGTACATAAAGGGCTGGGTGATACGGGGTGTGTGGCTTTTGTCATCTAGTAAATTTAGTCATCTTTAAGTACTTAATCTTGTACTTAGTCTTCTCTAAATTTTTAGCTTTATGTGACTCTTAACAAAGCTTTACAAAATGACACCCAGTCCTTAAATTCATCATCAGTGGTGTCGGCATTCCTTCTACCACCCGAGACAGCTGCTCTCACAACCATGAACTGTTCTTAAAATGGGAGTACAGGGAATTCTCCTAATGTTTTCTCCAAAAATGTGTTTTGTTTTTTTGGTTGGTTCTTTTTTTTACAGAAAAGCTTGTCTCCAGAGAAGTCTTTGAAAATAGCGGCATCCTTGTTACAGATGTAAATAACTTTATTGAAAAGATACAAAAAGTAGCAGCTCCATTTAGGACCAGCTATTGGTAAGAATACCATATGTAACTCTCCCATGATGTAAGCTGAAGCAGATAGTGACATTTGTGTCTGTTCTTCACCTTTTTACCCATGGAACTGTTGATTTGGCATAAATGGGTATTTCTGGATATCACTACGCTAATGAAATAACCAGTCTACTTCAAATTATCTGTTATCAAAAATGACGTGCCTTTCCACTTGGCAGTTACCTTGACAGATGTAGGAGATAATTAATCTAGATGTATCCTTTCCCATTAGATAGCATTCTTACCAATTTTGTCTTTATCCAGGTGATTCAACTGCTGTTTGCCTAGACATCTGTGATGCCAACAATAAATTATTTTCCTTTTTCTTTGAAAAATCAGTGTTGCTACAACTTGGGAGAAAGTTTTCCCTTCTTTTATGCTTTGATAAAATAGGAAATGTTTGCTGTGTTCTAACAAATATTTTAACCAGTAGCGTTGTTTTTGCATGTTAATGTCAGAAAGGCCTATGTAATGCATGTCATACAGTGTTTCAAAGATTTTATCACCTTTGTAAAACTATTAACTTGTTTTATTGACTGTTACTCAAGCAACACTACATAAAGCATTTTTTATTGAATGGTACAAATTTACAACTCACTTTTCACTCTCTCAGCTTTTGTAAATAGCACTACAAAATCATCCCTCTGGGGAAGAAAATAAATTTATTTATGATACTAGAATTTCTCAAAACCAAGCAAAAACATTTGTAAGATGAACAGTATCAATTTGGAACAACTCTTTGTAACTACTTGGTTTCATTTTTTAATAAAGACAACTAAAAATGCATTTAACTGTTTCTGCAGTGACTTGATAGTAGAATTTGTACTGGAAATTTCAGCAGTTTTTAGTACACTTAATTTGAAGTCACTAAAAGAAAGTTGATATTTATTGAGCTTCTATGTCTGCCACACAATGTCTGACACTCTTCTCACAAATTCTACCTGAAAGGTCTTGCTGAAAAGTCCTCCTGTACCCACAAGGCTATTCTTCTATTTCCATACCACCTTTTCTGTTTTAATACAACATATACTGTGTCTCCTCTAGACTATGTCTTTGCCATCTATGGCCTGGCATACAATGAATCCTGCTAACATGTTTGTTCCACAAGTATGTTCAATGAAGAGTATGAAAATATCTTGTTTTTGTTTTTTTTTCTTCTACCAACCAAGGTAATGCCTCTGTTTGTATTATACCAGTTCACAAATTGAAGTGTGATGACAGAGAAGGAATATAGTATAAATATAGCAGTAGTTGTCAACCAAGCCTATTTGGTGTCCCAGAAAGACATTTTGGTTGTCATGCTAGGAAGATGTTATTGGCATCAAGTAGTTTAGAGGTCAGAAATACTGCTAAATAAACATCAATGTACAAGACAGTCCCCCACAACAAATTATCTGGTCAAACAGTGAGGTTGAGAAACTGAGCTAAAAATAACTTAGGCAATCTGAATTACTATCCTAATTCCTTTAACAGATGATTAGTCTGCCGTTCGACAACTGTAAGAATCTATATTCAGCCTGAGAAAACTGTTTACAGATGTCCTCATTCACCTGAGGTATAATTATAGCATATACAGTAAGGCTGAACTATGAAGGAGAAAGGAGGTACCAGCAAAAACCATTCCTAACTACAATCTAAATTACTTGAAACAATCAGTAGAGCACCTAGTCCACTTGACAGAACATGCTTATTAAAATAGCTGCTATCAGCAAAATATCAAAGGCAACTTGCTCTAAACTACCGCTAGAATACATAAAAGAGCTCTAAGATATCTGTTGCATTGTGTTAATATAATTTGGGGTCTACTCACAGTGAAACCAGGTAAGAACAGTTTTACTCATCCAAATTTGACTCTTCTTGTGCTGACTGAGCACACCTCTCCATTTCAGCATCTCTTTCCTAGCTTCAGTTTTAGCTGTACTAAAGGAAAGGAGCATCTGGGTCATGGCCAGTACAATACTTACAAGCTCTCAAATGTAACACATCAATCAAGAGGGAACTGGTTTCCAGAGTTTGGCTTTATTTTGCAGTACAGAAATCATTTGGAGCCATTTTGACACGGATCACTGAAGTAGAGGCTCTGTCAAATCAATACTGCATTGCAGCTTGGTCCATTGAAGAAGCCACAACTGGGATATAAAAGAAGCTTCTACATTTTACCTGCTTTATGATAGGTTTCTTTCCCCATTTTGCTCATCAATTTTAGTAAAACACCGCACACAGGCCTCCTCCAAAATGACTTCATTGTCAAGTTTGATTAGGATTTTAGACCCACACAAACCAAACTTGTAGCTGTGTCATGTGGGTATTTTCATAATACTTGACACAAAATGTAAGAGCATAGAGAAAAACTTAGGGAGGCTATCCCAAATTATGGAATTTTCAATTTAGAATTGCAACGTCAAGAGGACAGATGGCACACAAAATGTACTGATCCAGCTCTTGAGCAGCAAAAGCACGTAATTGCAAAGGCTGCACTGATTAAAAGATACAAATACTGTATCAAGTTCTCTATCAGTTTTGCAATGTTCCCCAAAACTGATCCTTCAGTAAGGAAGAAAAAAAAAAAGCCAGTGTTGGTTAAACTGAACAGAATTATAATTATCAATTCTGAATAGCCACTCCATGAAACAAGTTAATACATGATATTAGAAAGGGGAGGAATATTTACTGGTACAGTGCTCCGCAATCTCAGTTTTGATTACAAAAGCAGGTCTTAGAATAGTGATTTCATGTAATATGCATTATTTGCCAAATTTTAACTTTGTCCTAATTAGATGAGAACATGTTCCGCTGTTACTCTTCTCCGTAGATGTCATTTTTCTTGCGTTTCATTTCCTCAAAGTCAAACTCTGAACCTGTCATTCTCTTGTAGATGTCTTTAATGTCATCACAGGTTGTCTCAAAATGAGTAGTAGCATCGTATGTGCGAGAAATGAAGATCTGGAAATAAAAATCACAAAGACTTAAGACTAGGGATATTTCCCAAGAGAGCCTAACATACCCTCCTTTTCAAATCAATCACCACACTTGCCTGGCTTTCTTTTCCCAAATCTTTTGGTACAAGGAGATCACTGATGCTGACAAATCTGGAGAAGGGAAAAAAAAAAATTAAGTAAATTTGGCTGACCTTGCAACCACCCGCTTCTCTGCCCGAAGTTCAAAGCCCAAAGAACGAGTCTGGTAGAGATGATACCCACACAACAGCCATTGCTTTCACTTTCATGGGATTCACACCACCTCGGAGCCAAAATCAAAGGCTTTACTCTTGATTTTAGCTGATATAAATGAACACATCACTCACTTCTGTTCAATTGGTTCCAAGAGCTCCAAAGCTGGTCTGATTTCTTTCTCAGGTTCCTTGGTCTCCACAGTTGTACTCACTATGGCAATATACTTTCCCTGTGCTGCCACATTGTGTGCAGAGGAGATCATGCAGACATAGATATCTAGAAACAAATAATGCCAGTTCACTGCTAAGTTCTATAAATTTCAGGCATGTGTATGCTCAGGTTTCACCCAAATTTCAATGAGGTGTGAATTAAAGTTACTAGGAACACAGATAATAAGCACCAAAACTATAAAATACACTGAAGAAAACAACAGGTGAAATATGACATTGGCTTCAGATATACCTTTGGAGATTTGTATCCAATGGCAAGGGGCCCAATGGAGCATGGTGAGGATTACTGGGACAGTGGAGTGGGCATGGTATGAAAATATACATTGTATAACCCCCAAAGATAAAATAATATAAAACAACTTTACCTGAAAAACATAATTTGAAAAATAAAATTATTTGGAACAGTATTTTCTAAACTTGAATTCTTTATGGGGGCAAACAGGGTCCTTAAAGTATTCAAATATTTAGCAACTTTCAGCCTTCAGAGACTAAGTCTGTATAGCAGTAAACTGTTGGATTTGGAAATAAGATTTCACGTGCCAGCTCTGCCAGTTAACAGGAAAGCTGGCAAGCCATATTAACTGCTGTGGGGTCTTCTGTTCTAAGGCCTCATTTAGAAAGGTTTAGAATAACTAAGAAAGAACCTATTAAGTACTAGCTTCTCATTTATAAAATTGCAGATCAACATCTCTTAATTTGAATGGACACGATAAACTCACAATTCCATAGATTTTACTTGTGTGTATGCCACATACATTATTACAGAATTTAACACAAAAAATAATTAAAAGGGTGCCGTTACACTTTTTTCAACTTTCATAAACACAGAGACCTGCTTGGGAAAGCTTGAAAGACGTCCAAATTCTTTTATTCTAATGATCTTATGTGATTTAATTTCTTACATGAAAAAAAAAACCCTACTATACAGATTGCACGTTTTTTTTTTTTTTTTTTAAGCTATTGCTTATTTATTTATTTATATTTATACAAGCACTCGGTACAGTCAAAAAGCACGGGAGGGGGGCCTCCCGGTGGTGCAGTGGTTGAGCACTGGGTTGCGAAGCTGCCCGCAGCCTCTGTGGCGCCGGTTCGATCCCCAGCTGCTCCCCGGCCACTGGAGGAGGGTCCCACATGGCGCGCAGACCTCTCCTGCTGCCCGCTGCTCCCCTCAGCAGTGTGCTTCGGTCCTTCTGCCTGCTCTGCTCTCCGCTCTGGCTCTGGTGAATTCTCTCACCCTCCCACGCTTCTGACTGTACCCAGTGCTTGTATAAATAAATTAAATAAATAAATTAAAAAAAAAAAAAAAAAAAAAAGCACGGGAGGGTGAGAGAATTCACCAGAGCCAGAGCAGGGAGCAGAGCCGAAGTACACTGCTGAGGGGAGCAGTGGGCAGCAGAGGAGGTCTGCGCGCCATGCAGGACCCTCCAGTGGCCAGGGAGCAGCCGGGAATCGAACCAGCGCTGCAGAGGCTACAGGCAGCTTCACAACCCAGCGCTCAACCACTGCACCACCAGGGAGGCCCTATACAGATAGCTCTTAACTGTTACTTAAAAGCTGGTAACTTTATAAAAAGGAGGATGGAAAAGCTAGTGGGTAAAAACTGATTAAACCAAAAATTAGGAGCTACAATTTTATTTAGCACTAAATCCTAATGTTAAAGCTGTTTTCTAGGGCCTCCCCGGTGGCACAGCGGTTGAGCGCTGGGTTGCGAAGCTGCCTGCGGCTCTGCGGCGCCGGTTCAATCCCCGGCTGCTCCCCGGCCACTGGAGGAGGGTCCCGCATGGCACGCAGAACTCTCCTGCCGCCCGCTGCTCCCCTCAGCAGTGTACTTTGGTTCTTCTGCCTGCTCTGCTCCCTGCTCTGGCTCTGGTGAATTCTCTCACCCTCCCGTGCTTCTGACTGTACCCAGTGCATGTATAAACAAAAAACAAACAAATAATAAATAAAAACATGCCTCTAAAAAAAAATAATAAAATAAAAAAAAATAAAGCTGTTTTCTAGCATATAGCTAATATTGAATAGAAAGATTAGGCTAACAGTGACTTAAAAGCAGTGTTGTCATCAGCTCAAAAATACACTGGAATCATGTCAACTAGTAAGCATAAACCTCAGAGGCACGGAACACTGAACCTAGGAAAAACTGCTTATGTAATTATTTCACCCTCTTAAATTCTACAGGTGAGGAAACATCTCCAAAGCAGTGAATACAAGTCCAATGTAGGACTCTGGTCCATTTCGATGTAATGATTAGAATGTCCATGAGCTTAAAAGTGATCAATTGCACATTTTCTTTACTATATGTAAACTAAAGTTTCTTCACTATAATAGAGCAGATAAATTTGAGAATTTTGGGTAGAACACAAAACCTTATATCTAGCAAAATTCTACCAACATCTGCTGATCTTTAAACTCACCTGACTTTCGATTCACTTGGTTCTGTGGGATAATAATCTGGCAGGAGTTGGCATCATTGGTGTTCTTAATGGGGTGGCTAAGGACACAGATAACTCTGATCACCTGGCCCACTTTTTCTACCCGATCTTTTACATAGCTGGGATCACAGATGAGCTGCTTACAGCGAGCAATCTATACCAAAACATTAAAATAGTGTATGATAGTCAGAGTCCACAGTGTTTTTAGACAGTATGTTAATGCCATTTCCTTTTAATATAATCTTTCTAATTACAATTATTGAATTATAATCATTAAAATCAACTTTGCCAGTAACTCCTATAAATTCCCCTGTAACACAGATAAATTCTAAATCCTATTCAAATATTAGGAAAACAGTTCCATAATGTTTAGAAATATTATTTTAGTATTGGGCAGACCAGGGTTCAAACCCTTGCTCTACCCAACCTCAAATGGTTAGATTAAATGAGTACTGAATATATTTTAAGGGCTGTCATTATTTGTGAATGTACTCAATAAAAAGTAAATGTTTTGGGGCCTCCCTGGTAGTGCAGTATCAGCACTGTGAGGCTATCAGCAGTCACTGAACCACAAGTTTGATCCCTGGCCACCCCCTCCCCACCTATGGCCTACATTCCAGCTCTTGTATGCATAAATAAATAATTCTTTGAAAAAAAAATCTGTGTGATTTTTTATTTTAAAGATTTATTTTATTTTTCTTCTGCATACAAGAACGGGTGTAGGCCAGAGGTGCAGGGGTTGAGAGGACTCACCAAAGACAAGAGTGGGGAGCAAAACAGATGAATCCGCTGCAATACACTGCTAAGGGGAACACAACGGGCAAATCAGGAGAGGTCTGCTACACCATATAGGTTAGCTCCCTGACCTGGAATCAAACTCAGGTCACAGCAGCAACAGCATGACAGTGCTGAGACTTAACCCCTGTACCACCAGGAAGGCCAAAGATCTGTGTTTTCAAATGAAGCACAGCCTCTTTATCTAATCCTTTATATAAATCAATGTACCAAGAAGAAATCATATAATCTGAAATCCACCATTAGTATCCCTAACAAATTAAGTGCTTTCTGATTAACAGAAATGTCTTCATAAGAACACTATTTTTCCCTCTCTCCCTCAAAAAAAAAAAAAAACAGTTTTTTTAATTAAAAAAGCTACTTACCTCTCCTTCAGATTTTACACCAATCACTTTTCCATCCTGCACAATGATTTCTTCAATTGGCTTATTCAGCATGTAAGTACCTCCATAAATAGCACTTAGCCTAGAAAAATTTTCAAATTACATTTAATAATTTATAAATGTTTCAACTATTAGTGTCCTCATTTACATCTTAATGAGTTATAGGTAATACATATTTGCCCTATTTCCTTGAAGATGTTTTGTCTTTAAAAAAAGAAGATTTAGGGCCTCCCCGGTGGCGCAGCGGTTGAGCGCTGGGTTGCGAAGCTGCCTGCGGCCTCGGAGGCGCCGGTTCGATCCCCAGCTGCTCCCCGGCCACCAGGAGGAGGGTCCCACATGGCGCGCGGACCTCTCCTGCCGCCCGCTGCTCCCCTCAGCAGTGTACTTCGGTCCTTTTGCCTGCTCTGCTCCCCGCTCTGGCTCTGGTGAATTCTCTCACCCTCCCGCGCTTCTGACTGTACCCAGTGCTTGTATAAACAAAACAAACAAACAAATAAATAAATAAAACATGCCTCTATAAAAAAAAAATATTTAAAAAAATAAATAAATAAAAAGATTTATTTATTTATGCATACAAGAACTGGGGAGTAGGCTAGAGGTGCGGGGGGTGAGAGAATTCACCAGAGATAAAGTGGGGAGCAGAACAGGTAGATCTACTATAATATACTGCTGAGGGGAGCAGCAGGCAAGAGAGGAGAGGCCTGCTGTGCCATGTGGGTTAGCTCCCTGGCCAGGGATCGAACTCATGCACAGTGGCTGGCGATAGCTTGATAGTGCTGAGACTTTATAACCCCTGCACCATCAGGGAGGCCCTCTTTTTTGTCTTTTGTAGTTACAAAACTGACAGAATCTTTTCCCCTCAGTTGTAATGTTAGTTTAAAAGTCACTAAAGCATCAATTTTAAGATTCAAAATCATGTAATTATGAATATATTTAGTTATGAATACCAAGCCCAAATGGAGGTATCTAGAAAAACTTATATTGGTCTAATCCTCCTGCATATAATTAAGACCTAACAACCTGACCTAATTTTCTATAAAGGCACCAAGACATGTGTAAAAGGAAGTCTTTTCAACAAATTGTGAGAGAACAACTAAGTATCTGTATGGGAAAAAAATAAACTTCAAAGCTCTACCTTGCTCCACACACCAACATTATTCAAGGTGAAACATATCTAAACACAAAGTTAAAACTATAAGGGTTGAGGTAGGCACAGTTTCTTAATTTTTTTTTAATATATTATTGAAGTTTAAGATTTCAGCTTATCAAAATGCAAGCTACAATCAGGGAGAAAATATTCACAATACATATTATCTGTCAAAAGACTGGCCACCAGGATGTATCAAGATCTATAAACCAAAAACAAAGACACCCAAACTTCAAAAATGTGCAAAATACATGAACACATCACAAAATCATGCAAATAACTGACAAGATATATAAAAGTTTATCAACATTAGTCCTCAGGAAATCCAAATTAAAACCCTAAGGAGGTAGCATTTCACACTTCCATGGACAGTTAAGTTTTTTTTTTTAAACTGACAACACAGTGTTGACAAGATGTGGCTAAAACTCGCAATACATTTCTGAGTGTGTAAAATGGTACACCCACTCTGGAAAATTGGCACATTCCTATTAAACACAACTTGCTGTTATTAATCAGCAATTCCACTCCTGGATATTTATGCCAAAAGTAAGCCAACCTATGTCCATAGAGACTAATACACAAGTTTATGGTGGTTTCATTCATGATACCCCAAAAATGAAAACAACCTAGATTTTCACCCACAGGAAAATGATATATTTGCATAACTCATAACAGACCACTACTTTATGTTTAAAAAAATGAACGTTCAGCATATGCGCCAACAAGGATGGCTATCAAAATACTGTTAAGCAAAAACCTGACACTAATGTATATACATTATTTCTTTACTATTTATTTCAAAAACAAAAGTAATCTACAGTGGTAAAAGTTGCAAATGTAGTAGTGGTGATTATGAGATGATGTACAGGGAACTTCCCTGAAGTGAGGAAAATGTTATCTTGATTGGAGTTTGGCCAACATTTATCAAATTCATTTATCACTGTACATCTGTGGCTTTGCTGTATGTAAACTTTACAGCGATAAAAATAAAAACATATTTCTCACAGATCTATCTTGTCTCATTATCCACAGCATATCATATACTTCCATTAAAGACAAGGTTAGGAGCAATGGAGTTTTAGCAAATATATTAAACATGAATTCTGACCTTGCAAATCCTTGTGGCAGTTCTCCAAGACCATAAAGTGGATACAGGTATGGGCTTTTGCCGTATCTTGCCAAAGACTCACTGTAAAGTTTAATCCTATTAATGGTTTCGCAACATGGTTGATCTAAATAGCTGGAGAAAAGGAAATGCATATAGAAAAGAGCTTTAGTTTTTACTGTTGTTTCCACTTTATACTTTTTCTTGAAGAGATTTCAATTAACTACCTTAACATTCTACTTAAAAGGGTCTACAAGTAAAACCTCTTCTTTCATAGTTATACATAGTTACATGGTTATATTGTTAGAATTTCCACTTTCAAGAGCTGAGAAATTCCGTGAAAGTGCTAAGGAAAGTATTAATCTAAAAACCAAAACACTTACTCATCAGTTCTATAAAGTGCCAGGGCATGACCAGTAAAATCTATAACATCTTGGCCCAAGTCAAATTTCTTATACACATCTCTCATCGCAGTCTTCTGAGGATCAACACCCTCGAAAGTTCTAGGATCTTTTTCATCAAAATTGGCAATATACACCAGGAATTTTCTGAAGCGACGCTTTTCAAACAGCCCCATTAAGCCTAAAACATAATTGTTCAAAAAAGCACACTCACAATGGGAACCGTGTAAAAGAAAAGCATGAAAAGAAATTACTTTTTCAATGCAATTTACAATTTAAAATGGTAGTCTGGATAACATGATTTCTAGTTTCACAACACTTAAAAATGAACAATGACATTATAACTTCAGTTAAGTCTATTTTACAATAATTTTAATTTTTAACATAATTATAAACAGTACTTAAATACAATATGTCCAATTATACCTTATTATAGGTACAAGGTAAATGATTTGAAAAAACTACTACAAAGGTATCCATCTGAATGTTGTTCTTTTGACAACTCTGATCTATACTCAGTCAACTGCCTAAAATTCTGAAAGCTCTTTTCTTTTTTGTATGCTGATACACTCTTGGTATTAAACAGAAAAGAAGCTTAGATACCAAGAACAAATGAACTCAAAATAAAATGCTAATTAGGCTACTAGTCACTTTAATGTAAAGTCCTAGATTATCAGTTTATCACTCTGCACACTATAAAAACAGATGAGGAAACAGCTATCACATTAAAAACCCTTAGCTCTTCCTACTACTAGTCCATATTTTTCCTAGTCCACAGTTGTTAAGGTGTGTTGAGGAAGCAGCTGGTTGTTAACAAGGAACTTAGCATATATGATGTAAAAGCCCACAAATGGAAACCATGAGCCCCCATGAATGTCCTAAGAAACCAGTATGACACTAACATCATTTGGAAATTTCTTTTATGTCTTTGGTGGACAGAGTAATCATGAACAAAAGGAAAAATTGTAGTTGATACAACCTTCAGATTTGATCATCAATACAATATTGGCGAGATGCATATTTACAAAAAAGCACACTCTCCTCCACTTAAGTGCCCTGAATGGATATCTTTATGTTATCAGTGAGGGAAATGCAACTGGTAAATTGCTTCAGTAGAATGTTACAACCAAAAAACTATCCAATGGAACTAAGATGACAAAATGAGTGAGCCTATGAGTCATGCTGGAACGGTAACAAAGGAGTAATATTTATTTCAGGAGAGATCAATAACAACAATTTCCCAAAAGAAGTTCATACACTTCGACCCTGGTACTGACAGATTCAGAAGGCACAGATGACCACAGTCATTGAGGGATGCACTGCATGTGTCCTGTGGGAGAAAGGCTTTGTATGTCACTGGTGGCAATTACTTCAAAAGAACAGAAATTATGATGCTGTCCTAAGCTGTGACTACTACTTACCCATTGTTGACCAGTGGACCACAATTGCTGCCATGTTGAGTACAGAGTGATGAAATTGTTATCTTTGAAAATAAAACCTACAAGGTTTTTTTTGGGGGGGGGGGTAGGTCGTATTCCTGGAATAATCATTGTATGGTAGAGACAGTGCAGGCATATAATCCAAAGATAATGGATTAAGGTTTTGGATCTCTGAGAGTCCCTTGATGGTATTAATTTAGTACTATATAATTTAGCATTACATACTAAATTTCTCCAACTAAAAACCCATACCACCATCAATTTCCAGAGTCTTTTCTTTCTGCACCTTAAAATAATCTCTATAACTAAGATGCTCTGGTAGTTCTACCTCTTAATAGTGTGTTATAGATCTCCTTTCTGCTGCCTTAAGTAGTTTATGTTAGGATCAATCGCAGTAATTGATATAAATATAGGAAAAAGACTTCATTGTTGCTATTTGTGCTGTCTGTTTATAACACACGTTAATAAGACCATTCTGGAAATGTAGTCCAGAGAAGTTGATGTTTAATATTAAAAAAAAAAAACCCAAGGTATGTCTATAAGATGTTTCTTCAGTATTCTGATACTATATACTGAGTGTAAGGTATTTGTCATCTTATAAAACCTAATAAACCAAGTTGAAGGTGGTTATAGTAAATGTATGACTGCTAACTAGGCATCAAAGTAAAAAATTTTCATCTTTGGCTATGATTTCATATAGTCATCATGACTATATGATTTCAAAGGGAGGCAGCCTGTTGAAACAGGAAATGATATAGACAAAAAGGTTGCTAATTCCCATTAGCTACCTCCCTCTTTCCATAAGTGTTTTGACTTATCTACCAACTTAACTGTCTGTGTGGGTATACTGAGAACATACAGTTCCTTAAACACGTAAGAGAAATAATAACTGAGATTCACCATTAATTAAAGCGAAAAAAAAAAAGGCATGACAACTCTACTTATAAACAAGGTCTTGGGTTTTTTAGGTGTGTATATATACATAACACACACATCAAATACAAAATTTCAAAAACTGAGAAGCCTGTGTAATGTAAAAATTTTAGAAACATCTAAAGAGCAGCTTCTATTAAAATGGCAACCAGGGCCTCCCCGGTGGTGCAGCAGTTAAGCGCTGGGTTGCGAAGCTGCTCGCAGCCTCTGCAGCGCTGGTTCAATCCCCTGCTGCTCCCCAGCCACCAGAGGAGGGTCCCACATGGTGCGCAGACCTCTCCTGCAGCCCGCTGCTCCCCTCAGCAGTGTGCTTCGGTCCTTCTGCCTGCTCTGCTCCCCGCTCTGGCTCTGGTGAATTTTCTCACCCTCCTGCGCTTCTGACTGTACCCAGTGCTTGTATAAATAAAGAAAAATAAATCTTCAAAAAAAATAAATAAAATGGCAACCAGTGTGCACACAGTGAATGCACATATATAGAATCATACTACATTTAGACAGAATAAAAGTTTGAACCTTTGAGCAACTACAATATTATTTTGTCACATGACCAAATTTTATCTTCCCAAGCTATAATCTATATCTCTGCTACAGAAGTAAATTTACATATTCTATGTATTCTGCATATTCTCAGTTCATAACGCTATTAAGCACAAAGTACAGTAGCTTTACCTGGCAAGCTGTTTCTGATCAGTGAATTCAACTTCCAACTTTTACCTTTTTTTGTATAATAAACAAGTATTTAATATTCATCCCCTCCAAAAAAAACCCCACAAATTGTTTTTATAAACTTGGAATTTATTTCAAATAAATCTGGAATAAATTTTGGAATTTATTTCCATGAAATAATTTATCTGGATTAAATTTACACTATCACAAGATTTAAAAGAATTTTTAGCCCATCATTAACTACCTTCAATTTAATTAACAGCCATTTTTTTCCTTCCCCAACAGCCTATCCTAACCTAGCCAAAATCTTAGAGGTGCTTTATTTTATGGTTATTGTGTCTTTCAACATTTTTGCTCAGTATTTTCTCCACAAATGTTGAAAGACAAAATAATCATAAAATAAAAAGTACCTTTAAGAATTCTGGTCAGGTTAGGATAGGCAAAAAGTAAATTAACAGAGTTAGAGAAAGTGCCAAAATGATTGAAATAAGGTTTTGAGGTGAGAAAACTTTCTACACTTATGCCAAAATAATTACTGGAGAATTACTGGCATTTTTCCTACTCTCATCCAAACCTTGCTCTCCTGTAAACTCCTAGGGCACTTAAAATAAAACTCATCTACCCTTTAGTTGTATAAACTTATCCTTCATCAACCTGCTTTACGTAACAACTAAACATCTTAAAGAATTAAAGGTCTTTTCTAGTAATGCTTGCTAATCAAAGAGAGGTTGGGATAGCAAAAAAAAAAAAAAAGTTACATTGATATAGTGATGTTCATTTAAACTCTTACTAAGCTTCAAAAATAAATAATTAAAATAAATTCCCAACTGCTAGTCAGTGTTTGGCACAAAATAGACATTCGATAAATATTAGCTGACTGCATGAGCAGATGAATGGTTAATATAAGGGAGCTTAGGTTTTAACTTTAAGATTCCTTTCATTGAAAAATCTTCATATTCTGAGAAAATGTAATAAAATAACTTACTAGATGCCAGGGCTTCTGCTTCAGTGGAAGGAACCTTGTAGATTTTTCCTCCCTTATAGACAAAACTCCCTTCAATCACTTTGAAATCCAGATAGCGGGTGACCTCTGTATAAAGCAGCATCTTAACCAGCTGACCTATAAAAATACCACATAATTTGAATAACTTAAATCCTCCAGTTCCTTCAAAAATTAGTAGAAATAAAAGTACATTTACTGATAATAATTACTTTGCAGTTTAACACTGTCCATTGAACCCTAAGTCTCGAAAGTTGTATTTTAAATGGGAAAATTAGAATGCAAACCAACTGCTCAGTTAAGAAGTATTTTTTAATTTCACAACTTCAAGGTTAATGATTTATCAACATGTTATACAATATTATTAGAAATATGAGGTTCAGGATTATGCTATTGCAAATGGGTTTGTGTTTCCTTAAGGTTCCTATTATTTCTCAAAGAAAGATAATTCACTGGCAAAATTTTTCAGCAATTTGGGCTTCTCAGTTTCAAATTTAATAAATTCATATTAACTAAACATTAATTTCTGGTAAAGACAAACCTGATGTACAACGAAAATATTATCAGCCTGCAAACCTTAGAAATGTAGGTATACTAAAAATAGCAAACTTCTTTAAGAAACCAATTATTTCAAAGCTCATCTGAAAGGATAAATATACAGTCAAAAAAAAAAAAAAAACTTTGAAAATAAAATACAAAGTATGGAGAGTTTTTGCAGCCATATATTAAAGTATATGTACAATAATGTTAATTCACCAATTAGTGGAAAACAATAGAGATGATATATAGGAATATTATAAAAGTTCAAATTAGAGTGAAAAAGAGAGTGATTATTCATTTTGAAAAGTAAATTTCAATCACTACTTTTCAAACAGGCTAATAAATTAGATTTATATAGTAAAGCAGGTTCATGTGACAAATGAAATTAAGAAAAGTTGTGTTTACACAATTTACCTCAAAAGACTTCAGTTAATTAACTTTAAATTTTAGGGACAATTCAAATAAGACCTTTCCACTGAAGCACTCTCAGCATAAAAAGGGGGGAAAGGTATATGCTTTATTTTATGGAACATAAATATTTATACCAACAATTTAGTTTTTCAATGTCCTCTCATAAAAAAAAGTACAAATATCATGGCAATTTTAAAAGCCACCTAGTTCCTATAATTAAAAATGAGAAAAAAATAATATGAAGAAAACTTTCAAAGCCTATAAGCTAGAAAAACCTTATACGGCCTTTGAAGATTCAGTTAGCTAAGACTGTCACGAAATCAACAAGACGAAAAAGGCAGTTACAAATGGTTTGCCTTTTTGTATGTATTGTTTCTTCAGAATCAATTACTAAGAAGTCATCTCCCTCTTCCCTTCATCCTTAACTTACTGACTTTACACCTCTAATGGAGCATTTATTTTTCTGACCCTTCCTTTCCATTGGCATTCAACAAAACCCATTCCCACATACCTCAAATAATACTGTCAAGATAAGTTTCTGCTTTTAAGTCTGATTCAACGTACTGTCACAAATTTAAGTTAGAATTCTTTACCATTAGCCATAAGGAACTTGGGAATTAAGTCAACATTCCAGTCTCTTCCTCTTCCCATTGATGCTGGTGGTGTTCCTGGTAGTTTAAATCTTTTATATAACTAAAATCAAAACAGAAGTTCCCACAATGTAACAAAATTCAACTTTCAATCATCATATTATATAACTGTTTTATGATAAGTGGTTTTGGTATAATAACTACACACCATTTTATCAGGTAAAATATCACTGAACATTTTGTTTTTAATCAGAATTTTTAGCAAAGTTCCAATACATATGTAAATTAAATACTAAACTAATGAATTCTAAAAAAATAATGCTGGGGTTTTTTTTATTAGCGGAAAACCCAAGAACACACACAAAAAACACAAAACAATCCGTCAATGTTGCAGATTTATCAAACACTGCTGATACACCCCACATTATTTGTAGAAATCATTTAACTCATTCTCCTCTGAATGAAAACAGAAGCTTAATTTCGCAAATCATTTATGTATAGTTAAAAATAAATTCTGGATTCTTCAAATCAGAAAAAAATTAAAATTAGCTTCAATTAAATAATAGTTGAGAGGTTCTAAATAAAAAAAAATGCAGTTTAAAATATGAGAGTATTCAACTCATCATCGCTATTATGATAGAACAGAATAAGCAAAGTTGGCATATACTCAATGAAACCTCCTAAAGTCCTTGAGATGTAGTCACCAAAAAAAAGTGTGTGTGTGTGTGTGTGTGTGTGTGTACGTGCGTGTGGTGGGGAATAGAAGGGAAGGGAGGGAAAATGGGGGAAAGGAAGGTGTACATGTTCTTTAAGTACGAGGCAAGGCAGTACAGCAAAGAAAACTAAGCTTTAGAGTCAAATACCTAGGTTCAAAACCATCTCTTTGACTTAAACCCCATACTACTTGTTTTTTTGCTTTTATTTTTTAAAGATTTATTTATTTATGCATACAAGAGCTGGGGTGCAGGCCAAAGGTGGGCATGGGGGAGAGGATCCATTAGTGACAGAATGGAGAACAGAACAGGAAGACTGACTGAAATATACTGCTAAGTGGAGCAGTGGGTTAAACACAAGAGGTGTGCTATGCCATGTGAGTCACTACCCTTGCTGGGGATCAAACTTGTGCTGCAGTGGCTATGGATAGCCTCATAGTGCTGACACTTAACCCCTTGTGCCACCAGGGAGGCCACCCACACTACTTTGTTATCGAAAAAATGAGGATAAAAAGATCTCTTTGAGTGACTGGAAGAATAAACTAGGTCATGTGGCAAAACACTGGAATTGTGCCTGGCATACATTAGCTCTTCATCAAAGGTAATCCTCTATACTCCCGTTCTTATCCTATTTTTTTTTTTTTACACTTCATCTTAGCCAAAAGGCCGAAGAGCGATTAAAGATTTATTTATTTATGCATACAAAAACTGGGTTACAGGCCAGAGGTGTGGGGGTGAGAGGATTCACGAGAGACAGAATGGGAAGCAGAACAGGCAGATTGACTGACATACACTGCTGAAGGGAGCAGCGGGTGAGACAGGAGAGGTCTGCTGCACCATGTGGGTAGCTCCCTAGCTGGCTGGGGATAGAACTCCTGCTGCAGAGGCTGCAGATAGCTTCACAGTACTGTGCTTAACCCCCTGTGCCACCAGGGAGGCCTATTTTCTTATCCTATTAATTTAGAGAGAGAAACTGCTCTAAGTGGCAACCAAGGCCATAAGCTTCTACAAGTCGCAAACTAGGACTCCTGAAAATTGTGATGCTATAGATAACCTAACTAATAAAATTAAAACCACCTATAAAGGACCTCCCCGGTGGAACAGCGGTTGAGCGCTGGGTTGCGAAGCTGCCCGCGGTCTCTGCAGCATTGGTTCAATCCCCGGCTGCTCCCCAGCCACTGGAGGAGGGTCCCACATGGCACGCAGACCTCTCCTGCCGCCCGCTGCTCCCCTCAGCAGTGTATTTCGGTCCTTCTGCCTGCTCTGCTCCCCGCTCTGGCTCTGGTGAATTCTCTCACCCTCCCGCGCTTCTGACTGTACCCAGTGCTTGTATGTATGTATGTATGTATGTATGTATGTATGTATGTATAAATAAATAAATAAATCTTAAAAAAAAAAAAAAAACCTATAAAGAGAAATTTATTACTTACATCTTCCAGAGGTGTTATCGATGCACTTTCTCCCCCATAGTATGGATTTCTATCCATGTGAAGAACTTTCTTTCCATTCACTGACATTATGCCTGACAGGATACATTCCTACAGGGAAAACAGAAGTGTCTTTAAAAGAAGGAAAGTGCTACGGCATGCTTCAAACAGACACTTTAAAAGAAAGTGTCATTAAATATTCTTCTAATAAATAACACACACATGTATGTGCAAAATATGTGATGTAATTTAAGGAAAAAGCCCTAAAGCAACCAAGTGTGGTCTATGGAAGCCTGTGGGTCTCAAGGTTAAAACTAACTTTACTGCGTTAAGACATTATTTACTCTTTTCACTGTGTTGACATTTACATAGAAGGTGCAAGACCAATCATGTGGTGGCCAAACAAATTAAGGCATTAGAGCTCTCAACTACAGTAGACATTATACACTCATTGATTTAAAAAAAAAAAAAGCTAGTTTCACTTAAGAATGTCCTTCATGAAGCACTAAACATTACCTCATTTTAAAAAATGAAAAATTTAAAAAAAAAAAAAATGAAAAATTTTAAGATGTCAAGGTGTGTAACACAGTGTGTTGCCCCCCCAAAAGGTCAAAATTTTGAATAAAAATGTTGTGCCCACCACTGGCATGTCAGACCCCTAATACTTATTTTTTTTTTTTTTTTTTTTTTTTTTTTTTTTTTTTTTTATAGAGGCATGTTTTTCTTTATTTGTTTGTTTGCTTGTTTGTTTGTTTTGTTTATACATGCACTGGGTACAGTCAGAAGTGCAGGAGGGTGAGAGAATTCACCAGAGCCAGAGCGGGGAGCAGAGCAGGCAGAAGGACCGAAGTACACTGCTGAGGGGAGCAGCGGGCGGCAGGAAAGGTCTGCGCGCCATGTGGGACCCTCCTCCGGTGGCCGGGGAGCAGCCGGGGATCGAACCTGCGCTGCAGAGGCCGCGGGCAGCTTCGCAACCCAGCGCTCTACCGCTGCGCCACCGGGGAGGCCACAGACCCCTAATACTTAAAGGACTTTCTTTTCAAACATCAACAATGATATTAATAAGCATGAATTTTTGATAATATATAATGAAATGTATCAATAACTCACAAGATTTACATTACTCAGTAATTCAGTATTTTCCTAATGATCAATGAATGATGCCATCAAATCACGCAGGGGGATAAAAGAGGAATTCAAAGTGCAGGCTAGATAATGGATTTTAATGTTAGAGAGTATGAAATGTTCACGAATGTGGTTTCAGATTCCATACTTCAATTAATCATTAAAAAAAAAATCCTGCCACTTGTGTTTTGGCATAAATCAAAGAATAAACACAATAATCTGAAAGGCTATTAATATTCCCCCCTTTCCAACTACCTATCTTTATGACTTATTTTCATATACTTTAGCTAAAACAATCTTTCAAGGCAGACATTGTAAGAGTTGTTCAGATGTAAAACAATGATAGTCCGCTCATTTTTTGAAAAAGACAAAGGAAATTTCATGTAGCTTTATAAATCCGTGGTGTTTCTCAAATTTTCCAAGACTCCAGATTAAGAAGAATCTCATTCCCTTTCAAATCTGACTTTGAAACTTTTATTTTAAAAATTCATACATATTTCATGTTTTTTTCTATAATATACCCATATTCATTTTAGTATTTTTAAATGTTTTAAATTACTTGCTATCAGTCTCAAATCTTACTTTAGGAGGGTATATAGTTTCTTATTTAGATCAAAACACAAAGTATATTAAAACTCCACAAGGCCCTCATGTCCTATTCCAGTCATCACAATTCCTCAAACTCCTAGCCAGTCTCTGACTTCTAAAGAGCAAAGATTTGTTTTTGAACTGAATGGAAATATGTCAGATACTTTTTGTTCAACATTATGCTTACAAGATTAATCCATGTTTTATGTGTGGTCCATAATTTACTTAATTTCATTACTACAGAGGCTATAGAACAGGAGTCCCACAAAGCACCTAAATCAAATCCAATCTGTGGGCTATTTTTTGTAAAGGAAGTTTTACTGGTAAACACCCATGCCTAGCCATTCATTTACATATTGCCTATGACTGTTTTCACCATACCAGAGCAGCAATGTAGTTGTGACAGACTGTAGCATGCAAAACCTAAAATCTTCATTGTTTAGACCTTTACAGAAAGTTTGTCTAAAGTTGCAAGCAGTGGATTTCAAAGTCTGCTTCCCAATTTGCTATCACATCTAAACCTGTTAGAAATATAAATTCTAAGCAGCTTCTCAAACTACAGTTTACATCCACATCACATGGAGGACTTCCTAATGCTGGGCCTCATCCTCAGAGATCCCAGAGTCAGCAAAGTCTGGATTGGGAGCTGTGAATTTGCATTTCTTAACAATTTGTGCTGATGCTGCTAGTACAGGACCAATTTCCAGAATCACTACTAAAGCAGTGCTGCTCAAACTTCATTAAAGCTAAGAATCATCTGGGTATCATGTTAAACTATATACTTCAATTCAATATATCTGGGATGAAGCCTAATCTGCATTTCTAGTTAAGTTCTCAAGTGTTGCAAAGCAGCTGACCCGTAGACCACTCTAGACAACAAAGCTGTAGAGGATCATGGAACAAATTTGCTACATGAATATACTACAATTTACTTATCCATTCTACTATCGATGGATAGACTATCTGGACAGTCTCTTTGACTAATACAAATAATACTTTGAAAACATTCAAAATGTCTTTTGTGTATGTTGGATGCACATCAAGGGGCATACAAGTATGTTCAACTTCAGCAGATACTGCCAAAGAGGTCTCCAAAATGGTTGTACCAATTTATACTTTCGTCAGCAGGGTATGGAAGTTGCTGTTGTTTCAAATCCTTTCCCAATACTTGTATTGTCTTTTTAAATTTTAGTCATTCTAGTTAGGATGTGGTTTAATTTGCATTTCCGGACAACTAGTGAGGTTGAGCATTTTTTTTAATAGTTTACTGATAAATTTATGGTAACTTCTTTTGATAATATTCAAATTATCTGCCCATTTTTAAAATGGTGTTTTTCTTATTGTTATATTAAAAATTCTTTTTTAAATATTTTATTTTATATAATTCTTACATCATTTTTCATTTTTGCACAATGTATGCATTTTCATTTTGGTTATATTCCCCATACAATTGCACACCCCCCTTATTTTGACCCTAGTCCTTCCTCTCCCCGCTCCTGCCCCTCCCCCCCCTTGTGTGTCTGATTTTGATTTTTACTTTGTATTAATTAGCCTTTTTCCTGGTCCTTTATTTAGGTTTTCTAAATTCCTGCTATGAGTGAGACCATCTGGTATTTTTCTTTTTATTTATTTCGCTGAGCATGATCCCTTCTAGCTCCATTCATGTTGCTGCTAACTGCATGTGTTTATGTTTTTTGATTGCTGAGTAATATTCCATGGTGTATATGTGCCACATCTTCTTGAGCCAGTCATCTATTTTTGGGCATTTGGGTTGTTTCCATAGCTTAGCTATTGTAAATAGTGCTGCTATAAACATAGGGGTGCAGGTGCCCTTTGGAATTAATGTGGAATTGCTGGATCATATGGAAGCTCTATGTTTAGTAGGTCCAGAAATCTCCACACAGCTCTCCATAGTGGTTGGACCAGTTTGCACTCCCACCAACAGTGCAGAAGAGTTCCTTTTTCTCCACACCCTCGCCAACATTTGTTGTTGCTAGTTTTTTTAATATGTGCCATTCTCACTGGTGTAAGATGGTATCTCATTTGTAGTTTTGATTTGCATTTCCCTTATTGCAAGTGACAATGAACATTTTTTCATATGCCTGTTGGCCATTTGCATTTTCTCCTTGGAGAAGTTTCTTTTTAGCTCTTCTGCCCATTTTTTGACTGGATTATTTTCTTTGTTTGTGTTGAGTCTCATCAGCTCTTTGTAGATTTTTGTGATCAGTCCTTTATCATTAGTGTTGGGTGCAAAAATGTTTTCCCAGTCGGTGGGGTTTCTCTTTGTTTTGGTTATTGTCTCTTTTGCTGTGCAGAAGCTCTTTAATTTGATATAGTCCAGCTGTTTGGCCCATATTAAAAATTCTTTATAGGACCTCCCTGGTGGTGCAGCAGGTTGAGCCCAGTGCTGTGAAGCTGTCTGCAGCCTCTACAGCGTGGGTTCAATTCCTGGCCGGCCAGGGAGAGACCCACATGGCTCAGCAGACCTCTCCTGTCTCTCCCACTGCTCCCCTCAGCAGTGATTTCAGTCCGTCTGCCTGTTCTGCTCCCCGCTCCATCTCTGGTGAATCTTCTTACCCTCCCATGCCTCCGGCCTGCCCCCCAGCTCCTGTATAAATAAATCTTTAAAGAAAAATTATTTATATATTCCAGATATGTAAAAGACCTTTCTGGTTATTACGTATTACAAATATCTTCCATTTGGTAGCTTGTCTTTTCAATTTCTCAATGTTGTCTTGAAAAACACAACTGAAATACAAAGTTCAACTCTAACTAATCAAAAGCAACTCACTTGTTCTAAACAAGTTCTTTTGGTATGACTTGGTAGCTTAATTTTTGGTTCTGGAAATGCTCAAAAATAATTCCATGTAGATTAATGGTAATTGCCCATAAAGGATCACAATAGTTACAGTTAGCTTAAATAACTAAAATTGGGCATGTTACTACTCCAGTTGAGTCTTTTAATTAGGTGCTATGAGGGGAAATAGAGGCAACTGCAGATTACAATGTGAGTCAAAACATTTAATTTACCAAAAAGTATTTCAAACCAAATGTTTCCCTACTACCTCTACATGCTAAAATACGACTATAATCCGATCCTTATTCTACTGGGCCAGAATGCTTATGGTTAATTGAAAATACCAACTGCCTGCAAGATATTTATACCTTCCAAAGATATTTGTACATACTGGTCCAATAATCACTACTATGGTTAATAGAAAGTCCTTGTCTACAGAACTCAACATAGGAATGGCAAGGATTTTCAAAAAGCAAAACCAAGAGGCAATTTATAGTTCAGTATTTTAAAATCAAGTACAAAAACTCATCTTTGAAATCACAAAATTTTATAAGGGGGGAAGTATGTCTGGGATGTATAACAATTTCATTAAAGATATAATGCTGAGAATAATCTGGTTAGACTGAAGTACACATTTCTATTCATAACTCCTTACTAGAATAATGTAGAACAGAACAACAAAAATACCTTGAGACCCACGAAAAGCTATTGTGCTTAACTTTAGATGCTATTTCTAAGATTCATGAGTTTACTTACAACCAAGCCCAACATTAACTATAAATAGCGAACTAGACTATCAGAAGCTATATACACAAGCTGAAATCAAAGAAAAGTGAAAGTTAACCGTCTAACAACAAGGAAGAGGGATGAGCAGGAATAAAAAGTAAATTAACAAAGAACTCACAATGCTGAGCAGACTGAGATCATAATCTAAAGAAGGTTAAAGTTCCTACAAAGCTTACTGGGTTGCAATGGCTTCATTATATTACAGCACAGCACAATAATTAATCTTCATGATGTGAAATTTTAGTTATCAAGTAAACTATGTGCCTTCATTTATTGAAGAAGCTGGGACATCATTTGGAAAGGCTTTTATCCAAAAGTTGTAGTTCTTTAAAGGGTAATACTCAATTCCCTAAAAAATTCAATTATGTGAACTATACCATTTCTTCTGGACAAAAAAATGAAGATATTGTGCCAATTTAAACCAAATTGTTTTATGCCTTCTCCACTGAAGCCACTATTAGTATTTGTAGATTAATATTACCTTACTTCAGATGTAACAACTTATACAATGACAACCTTAGGCAACAAAGATAAACTCCTTACACTTTCTTTTAAAAGTAACAAGTTAAGGGCCTCCCCGGTGGCGCAGCGGTTGACTGCTGGATTGCGAGGCTGCCCGCAGCCTCTGTGGCGCCAGTTCGATCCCTGGCTGCTCCCCGGCCACCGGAGGAGGGTCCCACATGGCGCGCAGACCTCTCCGGCCGCCCGCTGCTCCCCTCAGCAGTGTACTTTGGTCCTTCTGCCTGCTCTGCTCCCCGCTCTGGCTCTGGTGAATTCTCTCACCCTCCCGCGCTTCTGACTGTACCCAGTGCTTGTGTAAACAAAATAAATAAATAAATAAAATATGCCTCTATTAAAAAAAAAATAATAAAAGAACATTAAATAAATAAATAAATAAAAATAAAAGTAACAAGTTAATAGCACTAAAAGCACTTGGCACACTGGCATCATGTAATATCTGGTACCATAAATGCCATGCCTGCTGTGAGGTATTTATAAGCCCAAAATTATGAAAATTAAATGGTATCTTCACTCCAAATACTCAAAGTGAATTCTACCTTGTGGGTTTTTAGCTTTAGTAGTCTCTTAATTTAAATTTAAATAATATACGTCCTTGTGTATCTAAATATTAGTGTACAAGGGCCTCCCCTGGTGGCGCAGCGGTTGAGCGCTGGGTTGCGAGGCTAGGCTGCCCACAGCCTCTGCAGCGCCAGTTTGATCCCAGGCCACTGGGGAGGGGCCCACAAAATAAATAAATAAATAAATAAATAAATAAATAAATAAATTAGTATGCAAGATTTGATACTATCAAAATCATCCTGTCACTACTACTGTCAATGATGGTGATTGCTATGAATTGATAAAATTCTCAAAGAACATCTCACAAAACAATCTAAGCAGACTGATAAGGATTAAAGTTATCACAACTATGTAATGACAGCAGAAATTGGTGTGATTTCTAGTTATGCAATCATCACTCATCCAAAAGGTCACAATTCATACAAATGAAAATTTAAAGTGCATTATATTAACTTGGTTTCAATACTCTTTTTTTAAGTCTGTGCCATCTTTGATAAAAGTGATGCTTCTGAAGTAACATAGTATGTAGCTCTCTGCATGATGATGGATTTGCACTCTTCTGTCCATTTTTAACTTACCTTATTCAAGAGCAAATATGAAAGGTCAGGAGTAACCTCAGAATAACAGTGGAAGGAACTGGCTCTTACAATATGCTGGCAGCAACAGTGCCCATTCCAATGGGCAAAATCCACCACAAACTACTAAACCCAATCAGAATCCCAATTAGGCTCTTTATAGATAGTAAAAATTTAAAAACGAACAAAAAACCTGCAGTAGTAGCTAGGTCTATTCATTTGGATATCCAAGAGTTTTCAAACTCAACATCAAAAAAGAAATTCATCTGAATCTCTCATATTCGAAATGACCCAGTAGCTTTCTGAGTAATTAAGCTCATCTATTTGGTATTTTTTCCTATGGAGTCACATATCTTTTTGTGGACTGATCAAACACAATGAAGCATTTAAAAATTGGTTTTCTCCAAAAAATCACCATATTTCACTATAAACAGAAAAATGGCCAGCCAGAGAAATGCTATTTTAATTCTTAACAGCTTTTACCTAAAAAAAAAAATTAGTGAAATCAAAGTTCAAAGGTTTTCTCTTGTGTAGAGAAATCTTAAAATAGTTATTTGGGGTGTTACCTGGAATGAGTATTAATTTGATCCCAAATGAAGAATACAATCCAACAAATCTGAAGTGATGGTTTGTTTACATTAAGTGACTCTGGACTTTGAGGTCAGGTTTTTACATAGAATACACAAGATTTATAACAGGGTTTATCTTTTTACGATGAAATACCCCCCACCTCCCCAACAAAAACCCGGGCAATATAAATGGTGCTCTCTTCAAATGGAATTTTTTTGCAAGATGAGATTTCATTTTCTTTAAGAAAGCACAAAGAGAATTAATTACCAGACACAATACCTGCCTACATCATCTGCACACTATTATTTAAAGATCTCTTTAGAAGACAGGTACCCAGAAAAAATTAATTTACCACATTAGGAACACCATGCATTCACATGATGACTGTATTCTTTATGTAGTTATCGATTTATCTTCCAACTCCCTGAAGAGAGTACAGTGCTAGAGAACCTAGCTTATAGCGCTGCATCGCCCATCCATCTCTTAGGGGAAAGCAACCAGAAGAGACAATAGACGCAAGGAGCAGACCAAACAAAAGAAAATGACAGAAAAGGTCAAATGAGAAAGCAGTTGGCAGAAAACTTCTGAGAAAACTCACTTCCAGCTCGACAGATGCTCAACAAAGCGGGAGGGTGGTTAACAGATACGGGCAAATAATCTCACTTGGAGTGGCAGAGGGCGATTAAATTCTCCTATTTCCCCCCAAATCTCAAACGAACTCTCTAACAATTACAAAACAGTGCCTGTCCCCTAACTCGTCACCAAAACGTCTCCTCGGTTTTGGTCGCCAAAGCTGACTCCAGCGGCTGTTGGCTAAATAGGAAATGCAACTCGAAGTACTTCCACCCTCCCCCATCCCGCCTGGGGCCTCTCGGTTTCCAAAGGAGGTGGAGGACATCCGTACCCCACAGTACGGAATTTAAATTTTTTTTCCTTTTCCTTAGCAAAGTGAAACTCTCATTCACCACCACCACCTGCTTCACTTCTTCGTGACGATTCGTCAACTCCCTGGCCGGGTTTCCACCTCCCGCTGCTTCCTGCCACATTCACAGACGGCGCCCTCCAACCTCGCCGAGGCTGCGGGCGGCGCGCCCCAGCACGCCGGTCCCCGCCGCAGCCCGGCCTCCGGGGCGCGCGCCCACCCCGCGCCCCACCCCCGCGCCCGCTCCCCTCGGAACAAAACCCGGAACCGCGAAGAAACTGTCTCCACCGGGAAACGCTCCGAAGCGCAGCTCCGGGGCCGGGCACCCGCCCGCAACTCGGCGGCCGCTCCGGGGGGCCCGGCCTCTCGCGGCGCCGGGGCGCAAAGGGTGGACGCGGGAGGACGCCGCGGGAGGAGCAAGAGGGGGGGCACCCGCGGTTCGCCCCCCCCCCGGAACCCCAGTCCCTCCAGCCCTCCCTCCCCGCAGCCCCCCGGCCCCCGGCCCGCCCCGGCCCGCGCGCTCTCCTCAGTCCTCGGCCGGCGCCCGGAACTCACCGTCAGGCCGGTGCCCAGCACAATCACGTCGTACTCCTCATTCATGGCGGGCAGGGCGCGGACCGAAGCCCAGAGAAGAAAGAGAAAGACCCGGGAGTCTAGGGGCCAGGAGTTACACAGCCACCCGGAGGAGGCGGAGGAAGCGCCGAGGCTGGTCTCCGGGCCTGAAGGAAAAGGGAAGCCGGGAGGAGAGGTAAAACAGCTGAGCAGGGAGGCCGGCCGCCACCTCAGACGGAAAGCGAAGAGCCGGGCCGGCGGGGGAGGAAGGGCAGGGAGTGAAGGCAGAGGCGGGCGGCGACCCGGGCCTCCGCAGGGGGGCGGGGCTTAGAGAAGGCGCTCGGAGGGCCGTCGATCACGCCTTTCGCGCACTTTCATTGGCTGCGTCTCCTCCACCGCCCCACTTTCTTCCTGTCCCAGCTATCGCGAGAAGAAGGTGGCCAGTGTCCATCTTAAGTTCCGGTTCTGCGAGGGGTCCGCTGCCACGGTGGTTGAGGGCGGAGCGGCGGGCGGGTCTGGAGGGCTGGGGAGCGAGCGTTTCGGCGGACGGAGAACTGCTGTCAAGTTCGTTTCTCCCGTTGCCGAAAGGGAACCGATGTCCCTGTGCCCTGCCGCCGCCCTTGGGGACTTTGAGCCTGTGGCGGCCACGTGGACCGGAACGGCTGGCGGCGGGTGCGGGCGGGTGCGGCGCGTGGAACGCGGCTGCAGCCTCTGGGCCCCGCGACCTCCCTCCGTCCCGCCAAGTTACGTAACGTGGCCTGACCCCCCCTTTTTCTGCTGCCGGGGGACAGGCCATGGTCGCGTGCGAGCCCCTCACCACCTCTGCGGTCTTCGTGTTTGCAACTCTTAAAATGTTTTCTTTCTGTTCTGTTTTCTGATGTAAATGGACCAACACAGGTTCAGAAATCACAGGGTTTATCCTGTTTTCCACCCTGTTATTTTTGTTTGGTTGCAGCCTTAGGAAATTTAGAAAATAAAACATCTCTTTTTGAAAGTTGGTGGGGGGCGAAGATGGCCGCGCCCGGCAGTTTCCGGGCTTTACCGGCAAGTTTGATGCTTCGGTACCTCTCTGGTCAGGGTGTTGGCCAAGTTGTGAGGCCACCTGTTCAGAGAGATGGTGTCTGTGGTCGCTGTGCCACTGCTCTTTATTCTGCTGCATCTGAACAGTAAACGGGAACAAGTAGAAAAGGAGTTGAAATGTAGCACAACTCTTGAAGGAACCGAAAATGGCTATTTCTATTCTGAACCCCCAACATGAAGGATCTAATTAAAGTGAAAAATTTAAATGCTGTAACAACAAAAAAGGCTTTCTCCCTTTAAGTCCAACCTGATAAATTTTCTGGCCGAAAATGATTTCGCTGAATAATAGCTCTGGAGTCTTTTCTGCCATGAGTGTCCACTATCTGCACAGTTCTCTCTACATCTCCTTTAGATGGTGCCCCTTTTCCAAAATTAAAAACCTCGAAGAACTTCCTAAGTAAAAACCAAGTGTTGACATAGAAGTTATGACTGATCCATCAAACATAGGTGGAAGGATTGTCTATAATGGAGAGAAACATATTAATATTTCTGTAAAAATCAAGATTAAGAAGCTGAGGGAGGCCATGCAGGAGATTATCTGAAAGTGTCAGTTTTCTGTCATTGCAAATTCTAGCCTTGGAGCAATAATAAAAATGCTTCCTGAACAGGAAAAAAAAGTAACTCAGCAAAAATAAAGGGGAACATGAGTTTTGATTTGGATCCCGATCTGCACCTATGGAGAACTGTAACTTAAACCTTATAAATATAGTTGCTGACCCGTATATGAAAAGGTTTAGGCCACCAGTGTAGACAAAACGATCCCTGTTTGTTTTTCTCTACCCTCCCCCAACACACCTTTTCTTAGGATTCTCTTTGGAATCTCCAGCTTTAGGTGAAGACAGGTGTAAGCAGAGTCTAGTGTTCTCAGTCAGAGTAGATCCTATAGAAACCTTCTTGACAAGTGATTTTGCTAAGGATGCCGTCAACTAATGTTTTCAGCCTGTGCTAGGTCTGCATACTCAGCAGACAAGAGTTGCTATTTCCTTCAAGATTTTCTCTCAAATATAGCTGGATAAGAGCTATTCAAAGCACATCTTGGCAGGCTGACTTCCTTCCTATTTAAATAATTAAGAGTCAGGAAAGACTGTAACCATTTTTACAGTGTACCCCCATAAGAGTTTAAGTTATATTGGACAATGGATCCTTTTTGAGGAGAGGGAAGAGAAAACAGTTTTAATTGACATACAATTTTAATGCATTAGTGACCAAATTAATTTTTAAAAGTCGATGGAAATCAAGTGCAAAGTTTACTAGAGCACTCAGCTAATTATTTGAGTGGATGTAATGAATTTTCTTTTGGCCTAACAAATGATACCCCCAATGGGAAGGTCCTGCTGCTACTCTCCAAGTAATCAGGATTCATGATATAATTATATATACTTAAACTACAGACATTGATTTCTTACAGTTCTGTAGAGATCTAAGAAGATCTAAGATTCTAGGAAGATCAAGGTTCTTGATCTGCAGATTCTGCATGTGGTGCTGCTCACTTCTGAGTTCACACTTTCTCTGTGTCCTTATAGGATCTCTATTGCTTTTGTAATGTTAGCTATTTTTTGAAATGACATGTAATATTGACCCTTTTAAAAAAAAAAATATAGCAATAACAATAAATAAAGAGCATCTTTCTCATTGCCAGCAGCCTCTGAATGTTGAAGAGGACTTTAAGCATATCAGATGAATTGTTATGTGCTAAGTGAAGGATATTTTATCGATTTTCAATTGGAGTTATGAAGAAACGTAAAAACATTGGATGAAAGAATTGAAGGCTAATAAATCTCACGTATTCTAGTTCCTGATGGAGTAAAAATTAAGATTTGGGGGAAGTGGGTAGTTGGTGGAGATGAGTAGAAAGCAGCATCAATCTTGAAAACATTTCAAATCTTTGTACATAGCAAGAGTCCCATGAGTGTTTGTTATACTTGGGTAACTGGAAATAGTTGTTAATGTGTTTCTACCAAGACTCCCCTTGCATTTTGCAAAGAAGAGAATAAGTCTAAGGAAAAAAGTAACACTTTGTCCAGGCTATCTTTCTCTGCCCTGATCCACTACATCAGTTTCTCAACCAGCTTCCTCACTCCTGACTTTTTAAAATGTGAATCATATTGTTCTACCTATCTTTTACATTTAGAACCATATATAATGCCTTACATTTGGATTGCACTATCGAAAATCATTTAATCTGCCCTCTGAGTAACTCTCCAAGTTGATACACTTTTTTTTTAAAGATTTATTTACACATACAAGAGCTGGGGTACAGGCCAGAGATGTGGGGAGAGGGGGTGGCCAGTGAGAGGATCCACCAGAGACAGAGTGGGAAACAGAGCAGGCAGACTGACTGACATATGCTGCTGAGGGGAGCAGCGGGCGAGACAGAAGGGGGCTGCTTCGCCATGTGCGTTTCTCCCTGGCCGGCCAGGGATCGAACTCATGCTGCGGAGGCGGTGGATTGCCTCATACTGCGGTGCTCAACCCCTTGCACTACCAGGGAGGCCCTGATATACTTCTTGCTCACAGTACTCCAGACACCCTACTATTTCAGTTCCTAGAATTTGATCAAACTTTTACCCACCAAGGGCCTCTGCACTCTTGCTGGTCCCATAGCCACCCACCCTTACTTCCCTTCTTGCACCTCTTCTCATAGCAGTTCTTTCCACTTCCTTAAACTTCAGTTTAAAAAATCTTCCCAAGCTGTCGCAGCCTCTGCAGTGCCATTTCGATCCCCACCGACCTCAGAGCAATCCATATGGTGAGCAGACCTCTCCTGTCTCGGCCGCTGCTCCCCTCAGCAGTCTATTTCGTCAATCTGCCTGTTCTGTTCCCTGCTCTGTCTCTGGTGAATTCTTTCACCCTCCCGCGCATCTGGCCCGTACCCTGGTTCTTGTATAAATAAAATCTTTTAAAAATAAATAAATAAATAAAATAAAAAATCTTCCCAGACCACCTTATCTAAAGTAGGTCCCACTCAACTTTTTTCCTCTACCAACACCTTGCTTATTTCTTTCATAGCATTTTATCGAATTGGTAATTTTCTGTACTCATTTACTGTCTGCTACTACTCATTTACCAATCAGAATGTAAACCCCAAGAGGGCAGGATATTATCTATCTTTTTTTTTAAGATTGATTTATTTATGCATACAAGAGCTGGGGTGCAGGCCAGAGAAGCAGGGGGTGAGAGGACTCACAAGAGACAGAGTGGGGAACAGAACAGGCAGACTGACTGAAATTCACGGCTGAGGGGAGCAGTGGGCAAGACAGGAGAGGGCTGCTTCGCCATGTGGGTTACTCTCTGGCTAGCCAGGAATTGAACTTGTGCTGCAGAGGCACAAGGATTGCTTCATAGTACGGTGCCTATATTATCTATCTTGTGCACAATTATACCCTTAACAGAAGAGTGCTGCTTAACCTGGTAGATGATGAGTAAATAATGATGATAATAAGAGACCTAGAAATTGATCCCTAAGTCAACAAGGACTAAATGTGATGAAATAGGTACCAGTTCCTCCTGATGCTTTTGAGAAGCACAGCTTTTCTTACAGCATAAGATACTAAAATTACTATTTTAGAAGGTCTTAAAGGATAAAGATCTATAATATATAAATTCACTTAAAACGTGAACAGCTAATACTGAAAGAATAAGATGTCTAGAAAAAATTAATGAAACTCCAAAAATATATATTTGCTCATGGTACATTGTTTACCTACACCCTCCCTCCCACAAACTGTATCTGCTCCTAGTCTCCATCTCAGTAGTGACTGACTGCACTCTAGACACCAGAATTCTAGATACCATGCTTGATTCTGCTACTTTCCTTCCACCTCTATTCATGTTTTACTTATATGTAATTTCAAAAGGAAGAGCTATAGATCCCCACCTGTCAATGAAAAGAGTGTCAATAGATTTGTAGTCATCTTTAACCTGCCACCATACCCTGTTATGTTCTAGCCATTTCACCTCATAAAAATCCTTCCAGTCCCTTTTTTCCAACCTCAGTGCCATTACCCTAGCATGACACCATCAAATTTTCTCCTCCATGATTGCAAAGGCTTCCTAATTGGATGCCTGACCTTGAGTTTAGGTATCCAAAATCTGTTCTCTATGTTATAGCCCAAGTGGTAGTTGTAAAAATCTGAAGTGACTGATTTGACCATGTCTTTAAAATCTTTAATGGGTTTCCACTGTTCTTAGAACAAGTCCAAAATCCTAGTCACTTCCTATGACGAATTTGA